CAGGAGAACAAAAACCAGAGGAAGAGAGAAGGAGGAAAAGAAAAAGGGAAGGAGAGAAAGAACAGGGGAAAGAAAAAAAAAAAGAAAAAAAAAAAAAAGAAAAGAAAAGAAGAAGAAGAAAAAAAAAAGAAGGAGCTATGCTATGGAAGTGGGCAAGCATAATAGCTAGAGGGAAGCTTCACACTCAATGTTCGAGAAATGAACTACGAGTATGCGATTATCCCAAAGAACATACCATTTCTGAAAGTAAATTTGGATTGAGCATGTGTAAAAGTTAAGTTCTGAAAGCAAAGTGAAATACTCGAATTTCAAAAATCCACTGTAAAATTCCACTTCATCAACGCAACTATAAAATGATTTCCTCTTGCCTTCTCCTGACAGAAACAACAGCCTTGTTGTCACAGATCCGATTCAACCCGATCTTAGTCACAACCGGCTCGGGGATGCCAGGTGCCAATTTGATATCGTACTTCAATAACATGTGAGCAAGGGCAACCTTGACTTCATTGACAGCAAAGAAGCGCCCAGGACAAGCGTGATTGCCATATCCAAATCCAAAGTGATCTGCCGAGGGTGAAACTAGTTGAGCGCTTGTTTCATGACCAGGAACTTCACGCAGTTTCAGGAATCGATATGGATCGAATATCTCCGGGTCGGGGTATATGCGTGGGTCCCACATATTATCGCCAGATACAAGAAGACTCGTTCCTTTACTGAGTAGATTTCCGTCTGACAATTTGATATCCTCTGTCGCAACTCGTCTCATCGATGCTGTAATGATAATACAGTGCGTTAGAGTGACTCCCAAACCGGTCATGGGCAACCAAAAGGGGGGAAAAAAAAGAAACAAAACTCACCAACACTAATGGGTTTGAGTCGCTGGCTTTCCTTCAGAACACTATCCATCAATTTCAACTTGTGTAAGCTATGTTTTCCCCAGCCTTCCTCGCGAGCGACACTGATGACCTCGAGGCGCAAGGCTTGGATAATGTCCTCTTTACCACACAGGTCATATAGAACTTGAGTTAACATATCAGAAGTAGTGTGGATGGCCACAACCGAGAACGAAATTTGCATGACGGCTGCATCATAGGGTCGTCCTTTGGCAACTTCTTCCATCCACTGCATTGCATCATTGAAGCGAACTGGTGTCTTCCCATCACGAGCGGTCGTTTGCTTGGCTTCCCGTCGCGCTTGAAGCACAGGTTTGATAATAGATCTTGCTTCATCGAGTTCCCGTCTAATCTTTTGACATGAAGGTAGAAAGTTAGCTACCAAGGGACGTATCAAGCGAGGCCACTGTCTGAGAGCCACTGCGGCAATGAAGGAGTCCACAGTATAGTCGACTGTGATGCGAAGCCAGTTGGGATCACGGCAAATTTGATCACCTAGGAAAACTTTCGAGGATAGCTGTGCGACTATTCTGAGCATGCATGGCTTGAGAGTGATATTGTGCCAGTCTAAGACGAGAATTATCAGTCAATGAGTACAGATAGCAGGGAAGCATGTGTGAATACAACAGACCATTCTCATCTGTCCACTCTTTCTCAAGCACGACGGATGTTTCGGCGGATAGTGGCTCCATGACACTTGCTGTAATGGTTGTCAGAATGAGTTAGGAAGTGAGGACTTTGAAACTCAATTTGAAATAGAATACGGTTGCTCCTTACCCAAAGACTGTGTGAGCTTAGTTCGAATAGCGACTTGGAACAGTTCCTCGCTTCGTGGCCCCAGCTGAAAGGGCTCAAATCCCGGGATATAGGAATGGAATTCATCTTCGATACTGGTACCAAAGCTCAGCCCAGGATGGCTGCGAATTTCAGTAGCATACTTTGGTGCCAGAACAGTCTTTGGTCCGTTGTCGGATATAATGCGAAACACTGAAGCCTGGTCATTTGGTTAATCTCGACTGGAGCAGGCAACCTTGGGACAAACAAGCTGACCTTTTGCAAACCCCTCTTAATTAGGCCATGGCCATCGGTGAGATATCGTTTCTTGCTGCTAGCATCAGAGATCTCGAACAGTCTTTTACCATTGATCAGTGGAAAGTGTGGGCTCTTGGAAATAGCGAACAGATAAACAAGTATCGGTAGAAGGGCTATCGCCACGGCGATCAAAGGAGATAAAGAGGAAACAGTATCAGATATCATGATCAACTTCAAAAGAGATATGATATGTCGAATCTATAATGAGTCCTGGAGATACTACGAGAAGTCGAGGCCAACAGCGCGCGATCCGAATTTATATTTCTTCAGGCAGCCAACCTTGCAAGGTCATCATGAGGAGTGTTGACTTCTGTATGACGATCAGCGCTCTATGGAGGATGCTGATTGGCATGGTTCAAACTGTCATACCTTGTTAACCTTGTTCATGCTATAAGAAGACAGGTGGGTGGGTGCCTTGAAGTTCGATGATTCAGCGCTGGGTACAATCAGATCTACGCCAGTCTGTCATATATATTCCGATGAAATTCGAGTGTAATGACCTCCATTATACTTGAATTTACTACTGTTTCACGGACCTTGCGGGTATTAAAATTTGATCCACCTTACAGGTGTATTTGGATGACTCGCGCGAATCGGATGAATGCCAGGGGTGTCTTCTAAAGTTCCAAAGTTACTTTAAGTATGCCCGGAGACTCCACGCTGGCTATGCTTGTATTCTTAGCGAAGTATAAGATTACTCACCAGTATAAAGCCAAAGATCAAATCTTGAATTTAGAAATATCCAGATAAAAGGGGAGCTCCCTCCAAGATCTGGGCTTCTGAGATCTAGAATTTTATCCGAATTTCTCGGACTTTCGGACTCGTATTCGCATAAAATTCCCGGGGCCGTTTTTATGAAATGTGCCAAGTTATGCAGATGGACTCGAAATCATTCAATACGAACACTTGGCCATAGATCTTTAAATCTTGGGCTCACATTTTGTTATTAAGCTCTTGTCCCTCATAGTATCTACTGTCGGATTGAAGAGAGGTTTCCATGTCAGAGCCCTCATTGTATCGAGCCCTCATTGTACATAAATCTGGAGTGTGAATAACTACCGACAGAGTGGGGTTCGAACAATTTGCTGTGCCGGTACCCGACAAGAATAGATATAGTAGTACTTAAGTAGAGCAGCTCGGCACTTTTGAGATGGATTCGAAACAGTATACAATTCTGACCTTTCAGAGTCTGATTAAGAGAGTCTTCTCTGTATCTCTCTTCCCAATCCCTCTTTATCTTAGCACCCGAGCGGCTTGATTGTTGTCTTCGGCGACTCTGATAATAATTATTTTTTTTCCTCTAAAAAAACAACAAGGAGGGATAGGTATACATCATGGATCTGGAGAAACAGGCCGAGACAAATATTGAGCCAAAGGCCGAAACCAAAGATCCCAACCTAGTCGACTATGACGGCCCCGACGACACAGAAAACCCCTTCAACTGGCCGACATGGAAAAAAGGCCGTCAGCTGGTTCTGATGGCCTTCAACACTTTCATAACGTGAGTCTGCAGTGCAATTCGATCCCCGTCACCACTGACCAGAATTAGACCATTGGCCTCATCAATGTTCACCCCGGGAATCAGCGACGTGATGAAAGAATTCAATGTCACCAGTAGCATGCTGGGATCATTTGTCGTCTCGGTCTATATCCTGGGGTATTGCTTCGGACCTTTTTTGATCGCGCCTCTTTCGGAGATATATGGCCGTGTCGCGTTATACCACAGCTGCAACCTACTTTTCCTCATTTTCACCATCGCCTGTGCTGTCGCCCAGTCCATGCCACAGCTGATCGTGTTCAGATTGCTGGCTGGTATGGCGGGCGTGTGTCCTTTGACAATCGGCTCTGGTACTGTGGCTGATATGGTCCCCAAGGAGAAGCGCGCAGGCATCATGGCCATCTGGGCTATGGGGCCCATTCTTGGTCCCGTCGTTGGCCCCGTCGCGGGCGGCTTTCTGGCTGAAGCGGAGGGATGGCGCTGGGTGTTTTGGGTTATTGCCATTGCAGTATGTTTCCCTTCCTATATCCCTTTAAGAATGAAAAACTAACAGCACAGACCGGGGTGATGATGATCCTGACGATCATCTGGTATCGGGAATCATACGGACCAGTCGTCCTCGAGCGCAAAGCGGCTCGTCTCCGCAAAGAAACCGGCAACCCAGACCTTCGATCAGTCCACGACGTAGGTAAACTCGACATGCGACTCTTCATGACAGCGCTAGCACGCCCAATCAAACTGCTCTTCGGCTCCCCAATCGTCTTCCTCATGGCCCTGTTCGCTGCCACAACATACGGATACCTCTACCTGATGTTCACAACCATCACCTCCATTTTCGAAAGCAAGTACGGCTTTTCCCCAGGCGTGGCAGGCCTCGCATACCTCGGTTTCGGTATCGGATGTATGATCGGCCTAGTCACCACTGGAATCGTCGCCAACAACATCGCCAAGAACCACGTGAAACGAGGCTGTTTCAGACCCGAATCACGTCTGCTGCCTATGATGGTGGGATGCTGGTTCATGCCCGTTGGCCTGTTCTGGTATGGCTGGTCAGCCCAGGCGGGTGTTCACTGGATTGTGCCAATCTTGGGAACGGGCGTTTTCGCCATTGGTCTTATGACTGTGTTTATGTCTGCTAGTACTTATCTGGTTGATTCGTATCTGCGCTATGCGGCCTCGGTCACGGCTGCGAACACGGCGTTGAGATCGTTGATTGGGGCTCTGTTGCCACTTGCGGGACCGTCGATGTATGAAGCTCTTGGGTTGGGATGGGGTAATTCCTTGTTGGCGTTTATTGCGCTGGCAATGTGCTCGGTTCCGTTCCTCTTCTGGAAGTATGGGGCGATGATTCGGACACATCCGCGATTCCAAGTGAAGTTGTGATGGGGTATGGCTCGGGATAAAAGTTTGATTTAACACTGCATTTGCATTTGATTCATAGCGTATTAGATATCCATATAGACTAATAAATGAGGACAAGAATTACTTCGTTCATAAAGAGCTCACCTCAAAGCACAACTGTAGAGAGCGAGAGTGAAAACAACAGGCCAGGTGGGCTGATCCGAGGTCATCACACCCCGCAGAAGAGAGGCCTGGCAGCAACCGGAGGTTGAAAGCGCTTTGAAAGCATTGTACTAGGAACACTGAGGTCGAACACAGAAAATAGAATAATGAGATAGAAGAAATGGACTAAAGAGGTGTTCCGTACAAACTTGAGGTTGAAGTCAAGAGTCAGTTAGATGCTCAAGCCTCATATTATTACCCCCTCTTTTGCCAATTGTCTTTTTTCATCTGTGCTTATAGATGAGATTATTTTGAAGTCAAAGTACTCGGGTCAAATTTCCATCTTCTCCTTTTAAAAGGCAACCTTGAGGAATCAAAACAAAATACACTCTCTATAGTTGACAATATCGAAGCCAATAACTCAGATCCCCTAGATATTTCCAATCTCTAATATGTTTGATACAAGGAGACCAAATCATGCCAGATTCAGCCCTGTCCCCGCATCAAATTAATGGTTGGGTGTCAATGCATTGTCAAAAGCACCAATTTGCCAGCCAAGTACTTCCCCATCTTGGCTTAACATGCCAACTGGTCGATTTGGCTATTCGATACAAACATAATTATCTGGCTGCCTGATCTGACGATGCTCAAATAGCCATCCTCTTCCCCTCTACTCTGTGTTTTTCTATCAAGTCGGTCTCAACTTGACGATGTCTCCAAAGAACAAGTATGCCATCTCTACTCAATGATTCTTTTTCGCTGACTGTTTCCAGATCAATATTTGCCAAGCGCCCAATCAAGGTCGTTGTTGGCAGCGAAGAGCGGGTGTATTATGTTCACCATGGCGCACTGGAAGCTCACCCCGCATTTGAGGCTCAATTGAAGGAAGCGACCGATGATTACATGTATCATGTTAATTGGAGTGCCTATGATGAGCAGACAGTGGAATGTGCTCTGGGCTTCTTATATACCGGCGGGTATGAAGCCCCCGAGGCGACATCTGAGGTCGAAGTTGTTGAGGAGGCTGAAGCCGAAGCGGGGGAAGAGGCCCCAGCCGAGGAGGAAGTCGAGGAAGCAGAGGAAGTTGAGGAAGGTAGGATGAGTCCAAAGACATACTCAGAAATACAGCAAAGAAGAAAACTAACTGCCCATCAGTACCAACTACACCAGGCTCGGAGACATCTGATAGCCCAGCCTTATCAGAGAGCGACCTAAACGAACGACCCCTGACTCCCCTAGGACTCTGCTGTGGTGTCAATCTCCCCGAGTATGCAGCTGCGAAGACTCCCGAGACCGAGAAGGAAGAAGATGAGCCAGCGGCAGAGCCCAAAGAATCTTCCGCGAGCGAAATCTACCTCCACACCAAGGTATACTGGTTCGCGCATCAACTCGAGTTTGCGAACTTGAAGCAGTACTCTCTGAACCGTCTCGCAAAGGTGCTGGTCGATCTAGAGCAAACAGAAAAAGATCTCTTCCCGTACCTGGCCGATGGAATCCGACTGATCTACAGCACCACCGAAGCGACCGACGATGCCAGATACCTGCTTTCTCAATTCGTGGCTTTCAAATACGCGACTCTTGTTGGCGAGGACTTTGATCAACTCACGTCCGAGGGTGGTGAATTCATGGTTGATGTGTCCCATAAGCTTGCTCGCAAGCTTATCTCACTGTCTCATATTTTCCAAGAGAAGTTCGAAGAGCTTGAACGGAGAAACGAGGAGCTGGAGGCGGAAAGTGCCGTAAAGGACAAACAGCTGGAGACTCTCAAAGAGGAGGTGAAACAGTATGAAGACCGGGGAAAGACTGACTCTTCGCAGAAGTACCCGGCCTTCACATATCAGATCTGATCTTCCATAGTACTAAAGTAGGGCAACACATTTCATAGCGCCATCGTTTTCCATCTGCATATTTCATATATAGCTCCAAGCTTGGATTCATTTTGTTCTTGTTGTTTCTAAAACCAAGCCGAAAGATACTTAAGTATATCCTCAAAGCATCATATGCCAAATTGAGCCTCATGTTCCCCAATACACCCCAGCATATCCCTGCCCTATAGATTTATCTTGATCAAGTCATTTAGATCGATGACCTAGGAATAAGCAACAATTCTTGACAATACTAAGTACAACTTACAGAGCAGTGTCAAACGCCGGGTTGCCAAGAACTTGATGCAGTACGTCATGGGCCGTACAAGTCCAACGTCTCTGTGCTCCTTTGATTTCCTACATTCGCACCTGTTCTATAACGTTAGGAACATACTCCATGGCAGGCAAAGACCACGAATTCCAGCGTCGCGAATCCGCAACGCTCCAGCGCCGACTATCACCGCAGTTCAGAAGGAAAGAATGGCTTGCACCACCGTCAAATGTACCTCTAAATTCATTCCAGCTCCAACGACCCGGACTAACAGAATCCAGAACGTCTACGCCGGAATCTCCGCCTACTTCTCCAACCATCACATATCCCTCATTTCCATCTCCATTCGAGACAGCACATACCTCCTCGATTTCATCGAGCGATCATTCGACCAGGAAGAAAGACTATCCGTCGAAGCAGCCACCGAATTCGTCATCTCCCAACTGGACAGATACGGCGAAAAACATCTGGAGAAGATCATCGGGGCAGCAATGCCCAATCACGTTGCGGACTTTTGCCCCAGACTCTGTTCCCGCTTGTGGGGCGAGCTCGACATCATCCCGCTAGTACTCCCCGATTCCACTCTGGTGGATAGGTATACGACGCGTGCATCGATTGAATCGCCAGCATGGGATGCCAAAACAATAGATGAGCAGGCTGAGGCTATGTCCAGGAAATGTGTGAGGTGAGTGGGAACTGGGAAGATTGTTTCGAGCTCTGCTTACTCAAGTGACTGTGTAGGTTGTTTGGTCCTGAAAACGTTCCTTTGCTACAAGTTGGTTATATGGGTCTTGTGGAGGTGGATACGGACTTTCATGTGCGGGTTGCGAGTTTGGAGGATTTCCAGAAGACTGTGTCTGAGGAAACTTGGGCAGCGGTTCAGTGTTATGTTTCGGATATGAGGAGGCGGAAAGTTAGGGTTGGGTTTTTCAGCGCTACGCCTCAAGGTGGTGGTGTGGCTTTGATGAGGCATGCTCTGATGCGACTGTCGCATGCTTTGGATGTTGATGTCAATTGGTGAGTTGTTATGCGGAAGGCAATGATTAACTCAACTAACTTAGGGCTAGGTACGTGCCGAAACCTAGACCGGGGGTCTTCCAAGTTACGAAAAAGAATCATAATATCCTGCAAGGTGTTGCGGGCCCGGATGAAAGATTCAGCTCGGAGGATCAAGCATTCTTGACGGAATGGATTGCAGAGAATGCACGACGCTACTGGTCTTGTCCTGGTGGTCCATTGTGTCCACCGTCGAACGGAGGAGCAGACGTGATCATCGTGGATGACCCGCAAATGCCAGGGCTAATACCTATCGCCAAGAGAGAAGCTCCTGACCGACCTGTTATTTTCCGATCTCATATCCAAATACGAAGTGATCTAGTCAATACGCCGGGCACTCCACAGGCAGAGGTGTGGAAGTTCCTGTGGAATCAAATCAAACTTGTTGACTGCTTCATCAGCCACCCGGTTAAGAAATTCGTTCCAAAAGATGTGCCAACAGACATTCTGGGCTACATGCCAGCCTCGACGGATTGGTAATTGACCCGAACAAATGGCACAACTCTCACTAATGTGATCCAGGCTAGATGGATTGAACAAAAACATGCGAGACTGGGATGTCGCACACTACGGTCGACTTTTCAATGCTGCATGTAGGAATGCAGATATGCCAATTATACAATACCCAGATGGTGAGTGGAAAGTGCACAACCCAGATTCCCAAATATCAACAAACCAAACAGATCGATACATTGTCCAAATTGCCCGATTCGACCCTGCAAAAGGAATCTTCGACGTCTTATCCTCCTACAACAAATTCCATACCCAACTTACCCAATCCCGGCCAGACCTCAAACCACCCAAACTCCTCATCTGCGGCCACGGCTCAGTCGACGACCCAGACGGCTCTATAATCCACGACCAAGCAATAGACCACATCGAACACACCCTCCCCCACCTCCGCCCCTACATCTGCATAATGCGCCTCCGGCCCCCAGACCAAATCCTCAACGCCATACTCTCAAAAGCAAGCATCGCCCTCCAACTCTCATCCCGCGAGGGCTTCGAAATCAAAGTCTCAGAGGCAATACACAAAGGCAAACCGGTTATCGCTACGCGGGCAGGTGGAATCCCGCTTCAGATTGAGGATGGGAAGAATGGGTTCTTGGTTGATGTTGGTGATACGGATGCTGTGGCGGGGCATTTGTTTGATTTGTGGGTTGATGATGGGCTTTATGAGAGGATGGCTTCTTATGCTGTTAGTCATGTGCGGGATGAGGTGAGTACGGTAGGGAATGCTCTTTCTTGGTTTTACTTGTGCTCGATGCTTTCGGGTGGGAGGTCTGTTAGGCCTGGTGGACGGTGGATTAATGATCTGGCTTTTGAGGGGTGTGGGATTAGTCCGGGGCATTTGCCCAGACTGAAGCGGGCTGTGGAGGTGGCTAATATGGGATGATATGCTTGAAGGTCAGGCCATCACTGAGACGGGTGTTTAGGTTTGTCAACCTTGGAGGCTTGTTCATTGAGTGGATGGCAATTCTTTAGGCTTCGAAGCTTTGAAGACCTCATTCGTTCTAAGTTAGTATCAAACTCATGGATTCTGGTTTTCAGCGATGAATTGTAGATAGTCTGTTCCGTGTTCAGACCTTGGAGGACTCCGACATGCAGGGTCTACATGTTGGAGTAGGCCTTATTCGAGGACATTTTGGCGTAATGATATCCCATACATTGTGCATACAATTCTTGAACGTTATTGGTACTTCGACGGAAATTTCTCGATCCCTACTGTACTGCTCTTCCAAATTGGGACTGAGAGCCCGGTGTTCCAGGTCAACAGCATCTCCCTGAGACGTCCACAGCTCTGACTGAAAGAACTAGACAACAAACCTGAGCACCTGGGCACCTCAGAGAACTCATTTCAAATTCCTCTAGACACACAGCATCGAACCTTGGAGGTCAAGATAGAAAGCCCTTCCCTGTCGGGAAATATGTTTTGCAGAGCTATGCTGTAGAACCTGGAAATAGACCCTCGAACCAAAATGCCAGAAGAGAATTGAAAATGCAATGAAGCTCTCACTAACCACCCAGTTCAATATAGCACGCAAGGCCGACAGTCCATAAGGAAACCGATAGAACAGACATGAGATCGTATATAACGTGAAAAACCGCCCCCAACGACCCTTGTGCAAAAGAAACCGACACTGGCAAGAAAGGAAAGCGCCGTGGCAGAGAAAAAAAATATAAAATAGTAATTGAGTAACCGGTTTTGGGTTGTTGAGCATCACATCGTAAGAATAAAAGAACGCCACCTCGGAATATCAGTGCCCCGACCGAGAGAAAGGGAATATCCCAACATAAGGGGGTAACAAAAAAAGACAATAGCCGACCCGTAGTAGCAAAAACAAGAAAGCATTCCATATCCACATAACCAGCCAGAAAACGGTACAGCCCAAATAGAAATAAAACAAAAAGAATAGTCCTCCCATGAAGTAAAACAAGAAAAAAGTGGAAAAAGCGTAGGGTCTATCTCCACAGGGAATAGGGTGAAAAGCAAATAAAGACAAAGAAAAAATAAGGTATCATCAGATTTGCGGCTGCGCCATCTGCGGTTGAGTAGCGGCAGTAGTCGTCCACGTCGACATGGGTTGTGTAGCCGTGTACGGCGCAGGAACGTAGTACTGTGAACGATCCGGAGCGTAGTACGGGTGGATGGGGTTTGACTCGCGGCGCGGCACGCTCGGATCGAGCGGCATGTTACGCTCAAGGGGATGCTGGCTGTCCAATTGGCCGGGAATGCTGAAGCTGCCACGGGAGTAGTTGCCTGGCGTTGAAGGGTCCATTGGGGAAGTGGCGTCCGTGGCTTGGCTGCGGGAGGAAATGGATGAGTTGCGGTAGGCGGTGCTGCTGTGATCGGAGGTGGAGCGGTTGCGATCCAGAGATCCTGGAAGTCCCGTGTTCATGCCTGGGATTGAGGAAGACATGCTGTGCGCACTCATCGAGTCCATGCTGCCACCGTAGGGCCCCGCGCGGAACGCGTGGTAATCTTCCTGCTTGGGTGGAATGCTGTGGTAGTCGTCCTTGTGTGGGATGGCGGATGCGGGCGAGGGTAAGTATGGGTTTGGTGCTGGTTGGCCACCCATCGGGGCGCCCATCGAGTAGCCCGGGATGGGACCGGGCTGGGTGGCGTGGGTGGCGGCGTAAGGGCTGGGGTGCATGTAGAAATCATTTGTGGGAGTCTGCATGGGGTAACTTGGAGGTGCCATCATCTGGGGGCGATACCCGTAGAGCGCGGCGTGGGAAGGCTCTTGGTTTTCGACGGCGTTGGTGGCTTCGAGTTCGTCGATGGGAGACCGGAAGCTTTGCTTTTGAGTGAGTTCTGTGCGCGGACGAATGTAGCGTAGATTCTCGACCACGGAGGGCGGACTGAGCACTCCGCGGATCACGTCGTCGACGCTGTAGTATGAGACCAAATGGTGCGTAATACCCAGAACTGTCACACTCATTGTCTTCTTGACCAGCCCGGAATCCTTGAACCCGTACGAATCCACCAGTGACCCTACCAAGGCGCGCTCCAGCTCGGACTGGGGACGGTCTGGAAACGCTTGACTGGGCGAAGTGGGTGAGTAGCTCTGACTATCGTGTCGCGCATAAGGCTCCCCGGGCCTGCCGGCGGGCATGGGCCGTCTCGTGGCCTTCTTCATGGCGCGCTTCTTCTCGCCTGGTGGGAATGGCTTATCCAGCTCCCGATAGACGAGGAAGTTGCCCAAGATGCGACTCGGACTCCAGGTGACTCCATCGGTCCACCGCTTGATCCCGGAGGAGTTCTCCTCGTAGATAAAGACGCTCCCACTGCGCACCAGATGGCTGCGTTCCCGGTCGTGAGGTCTGCGCGGAACATGATGTAGCACGCCGGTCAGACATGCCTCGAAGAGTAGCAGCGCATCTTGGGTGGTTGCGACATAGCCGGTGAAAGTGGGCTCCAACACGGCAGTCCCGTTCACCATGATTGTAGAGAATGTGAAAGATAGCTCCCCAGAGGTAAGTAAAAAAAAAAAGAAAGATATCCCCCAAACCGAAATTAAGCTAAAAGACGATGGAGAAGGGGAGGTTTTGAGTTGGGACCCCTCAGTTGGAGAATTCCAAGGATCGACTGAGAGCACGGGCCCTAAGTCAGCGAGTCAACAGGTTGCACCGATCGAAGGGGATCTGCTAATGGCCGTTCCACGGTTGGCAATTAGCTTCTGTACTGTATCGAGATATAATATATAATATATATACTTAGTATATTATATATGAGTATATTATAAGAATATAAAATATAAAATGTCGGAGGGTTCGGAGTACTTGGGTAGAGGAGTATCAGACCTGATATGACATGCGATATTATGTGCTTTTCTTTTTTTCGTTTTTCATTTCTTTTCTCTTCGTGTTTTAATGATTTTCGATTTAATTATTTCATGGAATTATTTATTTAATTAAATGGGAAATATTATTTTATTGGATTTCCTGATTATTCCACTTAATTGCCATTAGCTGCATCTAGCCTAGCTCGAACCAGAAAGAAAATAAGACGAAAATCATGAAAAAAGAAAAAAGAAAAAAAAAAAACAGAAAAGGAGCCGCGGTGGAATTCGGGGGAGCGGAGAAATACGGAGCTTTCAAACCCTCCGCGAAAAGCAGGTACCGTTTCAACTTGAGAAACGGTGAAATCTACCTAAGTATACCAAGTACATCCAGGTAAATAGACTCAACATCCAAGTAAATAGACTAACTCTACCTATCAAACCATACCAATGATAGTACTTAAGTATAACTATGAGCTAAAAGTTACCGCGTACGAAAAAAGATTCCCATTCGAAATGGAATCATCATCGAAACCCCGTGCCATGGATGATCCCGGTGGATCCGTAAATGGGATCGGAGGGTCTGGGAGTCCGTGACATCTACGAGTAGACTTCTACTACATAGTCTATAGGTAGAGGATAACACGATCTCGGGACTTCAGCGATTACATCCAGACCGGACAATATACCAAAGTCTACTCCTCACTACGGAGTAAAGAGTTAAAAAGTAACTACGAGTAAAGACTTCAGTATCGGAGTATGAATACTCACCTGCCACATTCGTTATTACGTATTATATAATACGGCAGATCCTCCAGCTCTGACGCTTGTCACGTCTCTGATTGGTCACCACCTCGACGCTAACCCCATGGGTTCCAAGGTTTCCAAGGTTGTACTCGTATTTTCTACCGTTTTTTTCTCTTCTCTTTGCCATTCGTAATTATTTCATTTACTTGGATTGACTTGGATTTCCTTGGAGTCAACTACTACTGAGAACTGATGATAGTAGTGAGTACGAGGACTCATGGCTGGAAGCGGGGAATGGACAGTGCGCAATACCGAACTATTGAAAAATTCGCCTCCACCTTAACTCCAGATGGGTCATGATCATCCAACGGCAGTTGAGAGTCAGATCCTCTCCAAACGCGGGCCCAAATCGTCTCTGTATCATTTCATCTTATTCTCCGGACGGTGATTTCCAGCTGATTTATGGGTCTGGTGGATTATCCCAATACTCTCGAGGACTGAGCGCAGCAGATCTTAACATTCGGTACTCCGAGTACAGGTACAAGTTGCCCAGGTGTACACTCGTTTGTACATACAAGTACTGTGCCTGAAAGGACAACCCTATCGTCCAAAGTTCCCAATCAGCGCCAGCGGATGTGCAGAACCGGTTAACATCCACGCGTCTCAGATTAAGAAAAGCCAGTAAGGTTAGGCTTCCGTGAAGAGAGTTTCCGGTTCTCCTGACTTTATTTTTAAAATTAATTCTTATATCCTTGTATGGAGTACATACGTTATGATTTGGGCTTTGGTCGAACCTGGAGGGGAAGAGGGTCCCGTACCTCTTGCGCTTGTGGTTGAGCTAAGATGGGTCCTTGATTGGGTGAAATGAGCGAGAACTTTCACGGGAGATCCTCAGCAGATCCAGGCCACACTGCCACGGTCTCAGCTGGACCTTGACATGTGGCCTGGTATGCACCCCGGTCAAGCTAGGGGCCAAGGATTCGGGATCGGCGATTTTGTATGAGGTAGAGTATCCGTACGAATTACTACTAACCAACGTTAGCATCAACACATTCTAGAATTTTGTTGCTTTTTTGGTTTAATTTCTTTTCCAACCCCTCCTGTTTTACTGGCTCAACTACCGAAACTACTTGGATCTAGTCCGGTTCTTTGATAATTGTTTGATAATGGGTGGCAGCTCTATGGTCGGAGGACTGTCCTCCGTTGAAGATGCGATTAGGCAGGTCCCAGAAAGCTGGTTAACCAGACGATCACAGTTGGCGCACGCTTGTTCAAACTCAATTGACGCGACAGACTATGAGTATACACTTACTTATGTATTTCTGCATACTGTTGCTGGTTCTACGAGAGGACATCCCAAAGACCAATGTGATGGATCATATCTGTATAATCGCCGAGCAGCCCGTACTAAGTCCAAGTCCCAGTAGAGTCAAAAATACAGACTCTCATACCACTTGAGCAGTATTCCGTACAGTAATCATCTATGCACACCGGACCCAGAGACCCAAATAATAGTAACCACCAATCAACCACAGATTGAAGGTAGATCGAGAGTCCAGACCCAATCTGAGATCATCGACGTTCTGCACAGCCCATCACAAGCCAAGGATTCTCTAAGCGCGTCTCGAGCGGGGGGATAAATTGGACTCTCGGTAACGGGACAATCCCTACACGAATAACCAACTTACAGAGTATAACTAGTGTAGTTACGAGCTGTAGCCTGCAGTACAACTCCCTCGTAAACGCTGCAGCTCTCGGTAGCCAAAATTTGGTTAGCTCCAGTGCCGACGCCAGTTAATATCCAAATTACCCCACAACTTCATCAACAAATCATCGCCTCCCTTTCTACCCTCCGAACGAGCGCAATCCCCAATGCGTCCAAGTCCATGTCCAAGAGCTGCTTGTGGCTTGGCCTTAGGCTTTGGTCATCCTATCAGCTCCCCGCGGCGATCAACCCGCTATTTCTCTCTCCTCACGCTATTCGTGCCTTGGGAAGATCCTCTTGGCTGGTCGGTCTCCATACAAACTTGGCTAATATCTCTTACTATTCGCTCCCACTAACAAACCCACATCCACGGACGGTACACCCGTACCAGACACTCGGGCCAAGTATCCGTGCGACATGCGTGAGACAGGGGGATTCCTACAGTACGAGTGCCTCGTACTTGTGGGGGATTGTGCTCGCAATTACTCAGTATTAAAATAGGATTAGAATTTGGATAGAATTTGGTGGGGGAACCGCATGTCAAAGTAACTAGGGGTTCAAAAATGTAAATATAGATATTAAGCAACTGTCAAAGTACTGTAGGTTTTCTTTGACACAAAGTGCAGAAGTATGTTTTATTTTACGACACCTTGGAAACAATGATTTCAGATCCAATCAGACACAATACTCCATTCTGAAGCAAATTGCTCCAAATAATAAGAATCAGGAACCAAGGAACTTCGCCCGGTTCGGGGTTAGACTCGGGCCCGATACGAAGATCGCCTCCAGGGAGCACAGAACGGTAATAGGCAAATGCACACACCTGGAAGGGGTAAGGTGGCTTGGTTTATTTAAAAGGCCGCTAATCTAACTAGTCCCGGTGGCGCCCACGCTATCCCTATCCTCTTTTGAAACTAAGAAATCCCGCAACTCTCTCAAGGGTCTGATGAACTAAGGGATGATCATCATAAAGGGGGCTTATGTGAAGATCCGGTTTGAACCACCGACCTTTGTGTCTCGGGACTTTGTAGGCTGGTCTTCGGAGGTTCGGAGAAACTCGTAAGGTTCATGACATCTCCGTATACTGTTCGTGGTTAGTATGGCACATATGGCGTTTAACTGCCCATGGCGTTTACTTGAGTATAAGGACGAAGTCGGAGGTCGGGGTACAACCGCTTGAGATGATACTACGAGTATGCAGTTCCCACAGGATACGAGCACTCCGTGCATGCACCTGGTCACTATTATGGAGCATTTTCTAAAGTTGTACTTTGTACACGGAAAACTCCAGACTCTTTCAGTGGGGTGTTAGAGACCGTGCAAGTGCCACAAGTCCATACATAGTTACCTAGTCACTGACCAGGCTCGCACAAAGATCATAAAAGCAATGTACTACCTCCCTAATCCGTCCACAACCCCGAAGACTGTTTTTTGGACCTGGCGAACCTGCATGCTGAGGCCCTGACTTCCAAGCCCCTGATTTAGCTCATTGGCTATTGGCCCCTGGGTTATCATGTCAGAGCCCCAGCCGCGTACACTTACACATATCTGATTAGTCCGGGTACATGGACTGTCTCAGAAGCCAACAGTCCCCTGTGCAATTCAATTGTATACTCCGTGCCGTAGCAAGATCTAGTACGGAGTATAATTCTAATGTAGTGATTATATTGCACTGTGGCCAGTGGAGAAATCACAGTGTCAGCCTCAGGAGGGTCAAAGTGAGATCATGATCATCGCGATCGTCTAATTCTTCCATTCTCGGTGCTAGCGGGTGCGCTCTGTCCGATCGCGCTTGTCTGTGCATATCGAACAATGGCCTTGACTGCCGGGCCACCTCTACAGTGGCAAATGAGACCAGAGGCGCTTTCGGGCCATTTGTGACTTCGCGCTAAACAACCCTGCTGTACGAGGTCCTTCATACTAAGTAATTGTATACCTAAGAACTTCCGGTACAATATTCGTATATCCCCGTGTCAAACCGGGCAGAAAGAAAGGACTTACAATTATCATCTTCCTGTAATAGTTACTGTTGGCGTGTCACACAGGGAACATCTGGACTCCCCACGCCCATGTGGTCAGAAGGCCTCCTTTCTGACAGGGATCAGCGAACCACTGCAGATAAATGGTCCCAACGTTCTGGTCGGCTCGTGTATGTGGCTGTGTGACTAGAACCTGTTTTTTAGGGAAATGCAATATGCATTGGTGATACTACCATTTTTCGAGGGATGGCGTACAATACTGCATGTACGGAGTATACTTGTACAAGTAGGGACATAGTAGGATGAAGCTACGAGGATAGCAAAACCGGCGTAATCCTTAGTGTACATTATTCCTACATACAAAGAATGTCGATCATCTGTCATTGTTGTCTTTTGATGGGTCGACTCAAAAACAGGGATGACGAGATCAATGCACAACTCGAATGGAGTGCCGAGTTCACGATGAGATGAGACCTGGCAACCATGATATTGCGACTCAAAATCTGCCCTCTGCCTTCTTTAGTGCTGAGTACTGATACCTAATGCATGCAAGTAGAATTCCGATCGTCCAATATGGTCATTGACCTCTGCATATCTATGGAACTAGCCAATGTCGATGAGACTCGGCATAACTCCATGGCCACTTCTCAAGTTCCATTGGCTTGAACAATTCTATCGAGTTTGCATTAGGTCTCCTATATTCTGTACGAGTACGGAGTATTCTCACCGGCATTTGAAAAGCAGATCCTCGCCAAATCCCGATATCCTCGGCCCCGAGACGCCAAGTGCATTCTTCACCATGCAAGAAGAAAGATCCTGGTATCTGCGATGGCATCTGCAATGTTCCAAGATTATATTCTGATGATGGCCACTGACTGCATGGCCATTGGCAGATCGTGCTACTCATGTTGCTTCTATTGTGCATCGCATGATACATTTCTGGGTAGCTGGGTCGTCTGCATGCCCCCTATACAGAGTGCCAATCATCAATTTTGGGCGGTCTGCAACTAGTAGATGCGATGGTGTTCTGGGAGATATAGGCGGAGTACTCCGCACATCTCCTTGATCTACAAGCGCGCTAGGAAGCAAGGACCTCACCCTTGCTCTTACGCAGGCGCCTAACCGAGGCCTGAACGAGATACTGTACATAGAATTCCCCCTCAATACGTGCCAGCTGGGTGATGATGTACAGCGCTTACACGGTGCATGCGATCCATCGATCGATCTGCCATTAGCCGTTTAGCCAGCCCCTTGGCTCTGAAACAGATGTGAGCTGGTTGTATACATATCACATAACCCAGCAGAAATCAATCGCATTGCGTACCACGCGACTGGGCAACGTTCTGGGCAGCCCAAAAATTATGCAAATATGAAAAGAAAAAAGAAAAAAAGTGAGATCAGATCCCTATCAACGGCTTATGCACGCCACGCTGGGTTATTGTGGTTGACGGGCTCATGGTATGTATGTGGACTGATTAGGCAGGACACCTTTTGATTCCAAGCGAATCAACGTAAGATCGAACATCACCAGATCCTAGTGGGGAGGTTTGTGCACAAGATGTCATTGCCGACTGGATCGATATTCATACGAGTTCTCCGTAAACGAGAGGGCATCCCGCCAATGAGATGGTGATGAGGCCTTGGATGACGGGATTAGTCGATCTCCTTATCCCTTATATGCCGTCGTCTCAATCTGGTCATTGGTCGCCGTCCCAGGAGCTCGAATATCCCTGTCTTGACGAGAGATCGACGGGCCCCCTTGCGTCGATTCCCAGATTGGCGGTATGATCGGGCTTGGGGCTTGGGGCTTGGGGCTCCGGCGTACGTGGCGAGATGACCTTTGCTTTTTCTCCTCGCGTGTTTAGTTCTGGGGAAAGAGAGATTGCGTTCGTCAGCTTAGTCTTAAGCAACTGAATTCAGGGGATGTGTGCTCGGGAAAGTTCCGTTCGGTGTAGGGGGTTCTGGTCTGTGGCTGCCGGAGTACATGTACGGAGTAGTACTGTTACCTCTTTCGTCCAGGTCGTGTCAATGTACATCCTTTCATTGTGGTTCCAAGATTATGTACGAGCAGTAGTATCCAATGGATGTGACATAAGTACCATGCATCTCTGAGCATCATACAGGCCCAGGTGCTTATATTGAGTAGTATACATGCTTATATTGAATATTATACAGTAAATGAACCCGGCGCCGAGTCGCCCGCTATGCCAATATTATTATAACGTCACAATCATGCGGCTTCAAGGCGATGACCGGAGCACATCGCCCACTGAATCCTCACCGTCAGTCTCTTTGGAGAACCCGCTGCCCTTCCGAACATGCATCAGCAATCGCAAGGCACCGACGGGAGTGACGCCCTCGATACGCTTGGCCATGCCCACGCTGACTGGCCGCACGCGCTCTAGGGCTTGTTTCTCCTCGGTGCTGATACCGAAGATCTGGCTGTAGTCCAGATCCGCGGGCAAGAGGAGGTTCTCATCCTGCTGGAACCGCATTGCCATCTTCTCCTGGCGCTTGAGGTATGGTGCGTAGCGACCCTCAATAGCCACACGGGTGCGGATCTCAGGTGGGAAAGAGTTGGGAGTGAATGCTGTACCGGAGGAAGTCTCGATAGTCGGGATAAGGGCATCGATGTCAACACCATCCAGGCAGAGGATGTCTAGCGCTGAGCGAACAGAGGTGTCAGAGCGCGTCTTGAAGCCTTTGCGAGACCAGGCCGCGGAAGAGAGCTTGGTATCACCCAGCAGAGCCTGGAGTTCTTTGATCTGAGTCTCCGTATCGGAGAACGCGTGCCAGCGCTTGTCTGAGACGACACCAGCTTCACGGGCCATCCGTGTTAGACGGAGGTCGGCGTTGTCAGAACGTGTTGAGATGCGGTACTCGCTTCGAGTTGTGAACATGCGGTATGGTTCTGATACACCCTTTGTGATGAGGTCGTCGATCATGATTCCAATGAAACCGTCCGAACGGGTGAGGGTCAAGGGTGCTCGGTTCTGCGACTCGAGTCCAGCGTTTGTGCCTGCAATAATGCCCTGTCCTGCTGCTTCTTCGTAGCCTGTGGTTCCGTTGATCTGGCCAGCCAGGTAAAGACCGCTGATCAGTTTCGTTTCGAGTGTGGGTCGAAGGTTGCGAGGGTCGATGTAGTCATATTCCACGCCATAGCCTGGTTGCAACATAGTCACATTCTCGAGACCACGAATCACTCGTAGCATAGCATACTGCGCATCTTCAGGGACAGTCATGGAAATGCCATTAGGATAGATGACATCGTTTGGCGCAAAGCCTTCGGGCTCAAGCCAGATCTGGTGCTGGGGCTTGTCCTTGAAGCGGATGATCTTGGATTCCAATGATGGGCAATATCTCGGTCCGCGGACGGTCTCTCTGATATGAATGGACTTGTCGAGATTGGCGCGGATAATTTCATGAGCAGCCTCGTTGGTGTGGGTCATCCAGCAGGTGAGTTGGCCTTCGTCACCCACTTCAACACTGTTGTTGAGGTAAGAGAATGAATGAGGTGGTGAATCACCCTTCTGAATCTCCAACGCAGAGAAGTCAATCGTCTTCTTATCCAATCGAGGTGGTGTGCCGGTCTTTAAACGTCCGAGTTGGAAGCCTGCATCGCGGAGAGACTTGCTCAGGCCGTACGTGGGTGCCTCACCCATGCGACCTGAGGGGAAGACATCCATTCCAATGTGAATTTCACCACCCAAGAAGGTTCCGGTCGTGATGACCACACGGCCTGTAGGAATAACCTCTCCAGATTCCAACCGCACACCCACAATCTTGCCCTGCGCACCAGGTGTGCCCTCAATCCCTTCCGTCGAGAGAACAATATCTGCCACTTTTCCTTCCACAATGCTGAGATTCTCGGTGCTATTCAGTTCCTCGGACATATACCGCTTGTAGAGGTCGCGGTCGATCTGCGCACGCGGTCCCCAAACCGCAGGACCCTTGGAGCGATTCAACATTCGAAACATGACACCAGCCTTATCGATAATGCGACCAGCCACACCGTCCATCGCATCCACCTCGCGAATCATTGTGCCTTTTCCAATACCACCGAAGCTGGGATTGCAGGAGCAAACGCCAATGTTTTCCCGGGATGGCGTTACCAGCGCAGTGCGCGCCCCAGAACGAGCAGCGGCAGCGCATGCCTCGGATCCAGCATGGCCGCCTCCAATAACAACGACATCGTATGGTCTGTATGTCTATGGGTCAGTCCAGATCTGCAAATGATCAGGGGAAAACATACCGTGTGTTATCAGCAACAGAAGCAAAACCACGAGCCCGACCTGTAAAAGATCGAAGCGCGCGACTCTGGTGCACCAGAGCTGTTGACCGTGCCCGAAATGCCATCGCCAAATGCAGTGCAAATGTTTCAAGTGATTCCGATACAAACACGCGGAGATCGAATCTGTACGAAAATCTTCGGTCACATGACTTACACCCGTTAACGCCGAGGGCGGTGGGTCAAAAATGACATAATCTTGCGCCATCCCGAAATCGGCCAATCGCGGGGCTGCTTATGCTCAGCAGCTCGACCTTTCTTTTTTGGTCACTTCGATCTTCTCCCAATTCTCCATATCTAACCACTCTCACACAATGAAGGCCTACTGGTATGACAATGTTCCGGTCAGTATGCGCCAGCTGACATTCTTCGGCATACCAAGATTTACAGCTTCACCCCACCTGGACTTGCGCAGAAAGTATGCTGACCCCACTTCCGTCATAGGGCGACCAGCGCGAACCCCATGACTCCGGCCGCGCCGTATCGGAGGATAAGCTTGCCTCGCTAGGCGTGCTATACGTGCACTGCCCGACCATTGAGGCGGTGGATACCATTGCGGCGGACCGGGGATACCGGAATCGCGACCAAGTGTGTGTCTCCCCTGCTACTATGGGAGATATCTACGAGGAGAAAGTCAAGTCTTTCTTCACTGAGCACTTGCACGAGGACGAGGAGATTCGGTACATTCTCGATGGTGAGGGGTACTTCGATGTTCGCGGAAAGGACGACGAGTGGATTCGTATCTCTCTTGTCAAGGATGATATGATTATCTTGCCTGCTGGAATTTACCATCGATTCACTACGAATGCGCAGAACGTATGTTTGGTTTTCCGATAACCGGAGTGACAGCCAGGGAATTTTGCTAACTATTCCTCATAGTACGTCAAGGCTATGCGTCTCTTCCAAGATGAGCCCAAGTGGACACCGCTGAACCGTGGTGCGGATGTTGATATCAACCCACATCGCAAGACATACCTTGAGACCGTTGCTAGGCCATCTGCGGCCGTTTGAGATGGCTCTGAGATTGAGACGCGTTACGATTGAACTCTTTGCACACAATACCATTGATCGATATTGATCGATATTGGATCTTTCACATCTTGTTGTCATTTCGATTGCACAGCAAATTTACATATACAATTCCGGAGGATATCTCCAAGTGGAGTTCAGGCTATAGAAATTAAGCAGCATCGGGAATACCAGGCGTGCCGACGGGCGTTCCGGCAGGCATAGCGCCAGGCATCTCAAACCGATCACTTGTAGCACCAGCACTTTCCTGCCTGGTCATACTCGAGCTCCGCAAGCCCCCCATATCGACATTGAAGCTGCTCGTACGCGACCCAGCTCCAAGTCCTAATCGGGCATCCAACCCGCCGCGGAACCGTAGCCCCTCTGGTTCCCGACCATGATCATCAAAATGGGTGGGCCCTGATGCCTCAGTGGAGCCTGCGCTTCGAGGTGGCGCTGTGGACCCAGCGTCCGAGTCCTCGCCTGTCCGCACGCCTGTTCGGCCCATGCGCGGCCACAGATCAGGAAGTCCAACAACTTGTACGCGAGGCTCGACGACACGCTCCTCAAACCAGGCGTGCACTCGTGCCTCCACTAGCTGGGCGATTTTCGGTACGTCCTGTAGTCGACTACGGGATCCGATGAGCGAGCGTACTGAAAGGTCCAGTCGGTAGTCGGGAAGGAAAGAGAAAGCGACATTGCTCTTGGGGCTGCTTTTGGGTGGAAGTTGGTCCTGGGATGCAGAGTGATCGCCAGGTCCATTCGGTGCTGCTCCCTTATTTTGGAATTGTTCTGGCGTTGCGCCAGCTGGTGTTGGAATAGGCTCTGGGGGTTCTGTGGATGCTGGAATCAGGGATATGCAGAGTGTTCCTGAGAATCTTACGACCGACACGGATAGTGCCACTGGTAGAATGGCGGAACGTGGTTTCGGGTAGTTCAGCACCATGGATGTTTCGACAGCGATTGAGAGGTTGTCATCGCTGACGTCGACATCCAGCAACGCCTGCAGTCGTCCACCGTCCGACATAGGGTCGTCCACAGCAATGATGCGACAATTGCTGAAGATGGGAAACTCCTCTCCGAGTGAAATATCGGTGACATTGATCTTGTCAATGAACGAGGGTTTCTTCTCTGGGTTGTTCATGGCTGCTGTCAGGGAGCTGAGGATTGAAGAGGTCGGTGAGTCCTTGAGGGAGTATGCGGTTTGTCTATATTGAGCGATTGTTTGTGCGATGAGCACATTGAACCAATCGAGCGACTCGGGCTGGTGAGAGGAGTGGTGCATGCGCTGTCTGCCATGTTTGCTGGTGGGGTTGGTGGGGATGGCGCTGTAGTATGTCTTGCGGAGAATAGAGCGGGTATTTGTGGAGGTTGCAGGGACAGGACGAAGAACGTTGGATGTGGAAGGTTTCTCTCGTAATGACTTTTGGCCATCTTGGGGCGGGTTGTAAACGGAGCTGTAGCGGCGGTGGGTTGTGCGATTGGACATGCCTCGGGATGGAGGCGGCGGTGCTTCACCAAAGATGAAGAATTTAATAAAAGCACCAATTAATAGCACCACCGAGAGCTGGCCGAGTAGAAAACCCTGCGTGAATGACAGGCTGTGAGGATGTTAGCTATGTCATATAGATCACTTCTTGAGGAGAGGGCGTACGAGGACTGAGGCGCAATGGGCGCTGGCTCATCTGGTATTTGGTCAATATAGGTTCTGGTTTCGAGTATGCTTAACTCACGGTGTTGAAGCGCCATATTGCGGAGCTGTTGACTATGCTTGTTCACAATGCCATCCCCAGACGGAGAGGAAGTTCAACTTTCGGATCGTCCAGATGTCTTGGCAGCTTATCTTATCGCTGATCTGCCACCACAGACCGCTATCGTCCTCTTTGAGCTTAGCGCACTGGCCACTTCCACGGTCTTTGATCTATAAAGGAGTACTCCGTTGACTACAATATTTGAGATGGTTTCTTAGTTAATTATTTGCTACGGTCGGGGATCTTTCACAAGAGAATTTTGGATACTCTGGCACAATATCATTTTCACATTGTTACTCTGCCTAGCCTGCTCTTCAATGCCTCAGATACCTCAGCTGAAGGCATCCCCGCTTAAGACTGTTTTTGATCAGCTAGAATGGAACAACGGCAATGAAGAATTCAATGCTTGGTATAGAAATTAGAAGCTTCTTGACTCCAAGGTCGAACTGGCAAGGGATATCTAGACCCTTGGGAGTAGAGAGCAGCACTTCTAAGGTTGTAAAGCGGCCGTCAGCTCTAGAGCCACTTGAGCATTACAGGACCTGCAGACAACGTGAAATATATCTTGGTTTAAAATTCAAATAAGCTTTCAAACCATGCTACTTCGTACTTGGATATTACACCCCGACTCCTTCCTGTAGTTTTCTTCTCCGCCCCTTGTACCAAGGCACACCAGGCTGTTCTGGATAGCTGTGGTCCTGCAAGTTCTCCCGTGACGAGGACATTTCCTTCACAGATATACTGGACTTATTCACCTGTGACTCATTGACCGGAAGACTACTTGAGGAGCCTGATCGTGAGTTGGGCTGAGAGGTGATGGATGCCACATTCGTATGGTGCTTTTTCCAACCAAGGAACTCCTTGAGCTTGCTTGCGTTGAAAGCAATAATCGAGAAGAGACCAGACACCGCGACTGAAACGCCAACTAAAGCGAAGGAAAAAAGAACATTATTAGATCGGAAGAGCTTGAGGCATATGTAAGGCCGATGGTGAGCACTTACAGATTACCGGGAAGATCAACCGGCCTTCGAACTTGACATCGCCTCCTGCATGAGGGAAATCCGATATATTGAGTGCGAGCAAGCTGGTTAAGAATGAAGCAGGGAGCTTTTGGAACGTCAGTTGAGATCTTCAAGATGAAAACCAGATGAACAAAACTCACGAAGAGGATGGTGACCACCGTGAACACCATGATAGTATCACTTTGCACTGCAGTGTCATGACTCTGTTGTCGAGTGAATTCGGCCTCCACGATGTTTGCTCGTTTTTGCTTCAGATCAAGAAGTGTTTCGATGGCTTTTTGAACAAATTCGGCTTCGTTTACCATCTCTTCGATTTCGGCCTTGACCTCAGTTGGTGTGTCGTAGGTGGTTGCATCTGGTCTATTGCCGCCTTTCCATACCTGTGTCCACACGTCGTCTTGGTCTTCAGCAAGATTCTTTAGCATGTTGAGCTCATCACATATGTCTTTGACCTCTCGAAGTAGTTTGGTCTCCTCGGAAATATCAGCGTAAAGGTTGTCAGTCGACCTGCGGTCCGGGGTTTTGTTTTGTGAGCCTTCATCGGAATGCGCGTTCTGATCATTGCCATGTTGATCCACTTGACCTTGTTGTGTAGCCTCGGTGGTGTCGTTTGGATTGACTTCAGACCCAGTATCACCCTCTTTAAGTGATTTTGTGAACGCTTTGAACAGGCTCGCCTCAGAGTTTCTCTTTTTTCTCATCAATAACTGGTATTTCACCATGAATCTTTGTTTCACTTACCACAGCAAGAATTGCTTGACGATAGACATCAAGGGCGGACAGATGTTTCCCTAGCACATTTATCTCCCTTCTATAAAACAGTCCAATAGCCGTGCTAAGGATCAGCTCTTTGAGACTGTCAGCCGTTACAGATGTGACGGCCGAGGTCTCTCCTCGGACTTTCAATGATACGAGAACCCGCTGCAGAAAGCTAGCCTCACCCTCATCAAGTTCCTTTGTTGAGCATGTAATGATGGTGTCTGTAAAATTAGGATTAGTCTCAGGTTCAATGATTGGGGAATAAAGTCATTGATTACTCTGGTCAAGTTTCCAAAGCCACAGCTGATTGACAGTCAGAATTTTGCGCTCCTCTGGCCCTATTGGAGGATTTTCCTGTTTGGTGACCCCGGATCTGTTCTTTTCTGGACTGGTATTTGGTTTGCTAGTGGGTGGTTGTAGTCTCTCCATCTGTGCCCTAGGAGCCTTTCCGCAAGTTGGATCGGTGGCTCTCCAGAGTACTTGATCCCGGTCTCTTTCCCTAGTATCCTGGAGGGATACATAGTAGTATTGATCTAGCGTCATGGGCCCATGAATGATTGACTGCTTCTTTTGATCTGCTGGAGGAGACCCATCAAGTTGAACAACGTAGTCATCACAGAGCTCGATTTCACCAAGACAGGGTTTCATGGGAGCTGTAGAGCCAGAAGAGCTGTGTTCAACTTTCGGCATGGTCGAGTCTGACTCGCACTCTCCAGGGGTGTCAGCAAGGCGTTTTTCCCAGAACAGATAGGGCATCTATATATAGCCAGAGTTAGAAAAAGATGCACACAAAAATGGCCTCCAGGGTTGGAGAAGGGATTTGAAGTATTACGTAGAGGGCACTCGATCTTCCAGATTCCGAGAACGCGCCTGGCTTCTCAGATTTGTCTGACTTGTCCTGATACTGCACCAATTAGCGTCTTCGTTTCGATTTCTACTTTTTCTTTTGTGGGGATTTGGTCTTGTGATGCCCACATACAATAAGATACTGCGGCTTCATGTAGGATGTGTTGCCCCCGGCAGGCAACTGAACCCAGCTTCTCTGTACGAATTGAGTCCACGGGCGATGATCTCTGTTTTTGACGTCTTTCTCCAAGGACATCCGGACCATGAGGTCCTAAAATTTGTTAAATATGTGGAAGAATCACTGGGAAGAACGTACCTGAACACAGTCGAGCTAATAAGAAACATTTCAGTAAACAGGACATAATAAGCCGGATATCCACAGATATAGCTCACTACTTACATTGTTCTCCGGGATATGGATCCACCTCAAGTCTGGAGGTTTTCGCGCTTCAGTGGTCTTCTCGCTCAGCATAGGAGCGGCCCAAGTTGGGTCATTAGTTTTGCGTTTCGTATTAGATTCCTCGAGCTCCACATTGGAAGTGGGACCATTTGTGCGGCTGGCTTTGGGCTTTTTGACCAGAGCACCAGAAGTGTCATCGCCACTGGTGTGGTCAAAGGTTTTCTGATGCTTGTCTTTCCGCCATTTCAATGGAGGCCCATCGGGTTTCTGAGTAATCTTGTCTTTGATGGATTTGAGGTCGCCATACTTGCCTGGCTCCATGATCTTTTGAGGCCCTTCTTCGTAGATTATGGCAGATATTGGACGGCGTTTGAGTTGGAAGGAAGCCGTGTGCCCCTCATGGAAGAAGTCTATGACAGTTCCTTTCAGCGAGCTGAATTTCTCTTTTTTATGTTGAAACTCCGGTAGCTTCTCTTCATATCTCCACGCTTCCTGCTTCAAAAGAGGAGGAGGGTTCTCAAGAACTTCATTCATGATTTCTTTGATGTCCTTTCTGATGTGGACTTGAGTGTACCTGCCGTGTTCATCCCGCTTGTCCCACTCAGCGACTAGGCATTGAGCATCCTCAATGTGATTTCCGCTGCGGTAACCTCCATTGGAAAGAAGCCACCAAACCACAACTGGCAACTGGCAATGGACTGCCAGGCGCAGTGTAGTATCTTCCACCGGAGCAGCTTCAGCTTGCATCATGCGATTGAGATAGGCTCTCAAATGAATTTCGGTTCCTGGATCGTCGAACTGAGCAGCGAGCTCCAGAATCAGATGAGCCTCCTCATCTAGCTCTTGACCTGGGGCGAAGATTTTGTTCTGTTCGATGCTTCTATCCAAGGTGTCCCATAAGAGTGCCTCAAGCCTCCGGTGGTTCTCATACCTCCCTGAAGCTGCCAAAGAGATAGATGTGTGGCCATCCTTTTGTTTCTTCAGAATAGCGCAACGGGCACCATTTCGAGTACCATGAATTTCACGTAGAGCGAGGTCTTCGGGCTCAATCGATGATACTGAGCCATCATCCGTGGCGGGCTTGTCAAGCCACAAGATCATCTTTTGCACCAAGTCAACCTGGTTATATTTCACTGCAATGTGAAATGGTGAAATGCCATTCGGATCACAGGTCAATGGGCACCCCTGATCCAGGAGCAAGTACTTCATCAGATCAACATTGTCACCGAAAGAAGCCACATGAGTACATGATAGTCCTCCTCGGCTCCAAGATTTAAGATCCAGCCCATGGTCGCTCACAAACTTGCTCAACAGTGATTTTCTTCCATTTGAAATGGCCCAGTAGGTGGCTGCCTCTATTTTAGGCTTCGCCTCGCCTGATTCTTCCTGGAGAAGATTCATAAGGAAGTCTTCGACTTTGGTCTTCTCCTTGTCCCGCGAAACATAGGGATCAACATTGGAAGGGCTTTGAGGGAAGAAAATATCCGTCTCCAAAAGATGAAGCGCAATAGAAGTGTGACTCTCTGTAATGGCATCAATCAAGGCAGTGTCACCGTCGTTATCGTTGGCACCGATGTAAGCAATTTGGCTGTTGCGAGACCTGTATTTTGCTTGTGGGCCGGAAAGAAGCCTGGTGATCTCTAAATATCCATTGCAGCACGCGATGTGCAGGGGAGTACGCCCACTCTGATTTTTAAGTGTGGCGTCTGCGCCCTCGTTCAAAAGATCAATGACAAAGTCAGAGTATCCAAACGTAGAAGCTATAGCCAGAGCCGTATGTCCCTTTATATCCTTGTAATCAATTATCTCAGGATGCGTTTGGAGGATGTACTTTGAAGCCTTGATATGACCTCTGTGTGCAGCAGCATGAAGTATAGTAGCCGAATTCCGGTCAACGATGCTGGTGTCCGCATTTTTTTGGAATAGGAGGTAATCGCCGACAGTCGAAGTTGAATACATCAGGGCTTGAAAAAGGGCTGTCTGGCCTAGATTTCCTCTCGCGTTGAGGAGATCCTGATTCATCCGTAAGAGACTTTCGACAATGGGGAGATGACCAAAGGCGGCAGCAAGATGAATCGGCTGGTTTTCATCCTGATCCATAGTTGTGATATCTGCTCCCTCTTCAGCTAGGAACTCACACATCGCCAGCTGACCTTCCTCCGCTGCCATTGAAAAGGGTGTTCGGCCATTAAACCCCCTGGAATGTAAAAGGTCTCTCCTTTGACGCAGCAGAAGCTCAGCCATCTTGACATGTCCGTATCGAGCAGCCCCATGAATGGCTCCGTTGTCATTATATCTCCGGGCGTCGATATCTGACCCCCAGGAGAGGAGCTGTTCAACGACAGACACATGACCATCACCGGCCGCCAATATCAATGCCGTCTCTTGAAGGTCATTCTGTGTATCACGAAACCCGGGATCATGATGAAACAGCTTCTTGATAACGTCAATGTGTCCTTCCTTGGCTGACAGATGCCATCCAGTCCCGCCATATCTGCCTTTCGCATAAATATCCGCTTTCTGGGTCATGAAAAACTCCACGAGGGGTAAAAAGCCAAGAGAGGCTGCAATTGCGAAGCTCGTATCCCCATTACAGTCTCGATCTTCTAACAGCTCTGGATTTTCTGCAAGTAGTCGTTGGGCGATACTGAGTTCCCCCTCGTAAGTGGCAAGATGCAATGATGAAAAGCCGTCGCCGTCTTTGGCGGTGACATCTGCGCCACGAGAAATCAGAAAATTCACGACGTCAAGATGGCCATTTATTGCTGCAGCACCAAGTGGCCTTCGACCTTGATTATTTGAGTCTTCAAGGGTGTCTGCTCCAGATTTTTCAAGCACAATTTCCATAGTGCTCATTCTTCCACATCGAGCAGCAATATAAAAAGCAGGTTCTTCAAGATCGGTCGTCCTAGCCGATATGTCTGCGCCTCGGTCCAAAAGTAATTGGAAGATATCCCCAAGACCTAGTCCAGCTGCAAGCAGCAGTGGTGTCAGACCGCGACTAACATCAAAATCGGGGTTGAATCTGTAGAAGAACCGTGCCTCTAGATCGGCACCCTCATCGAGAACCTTCGTTACCATGTTCAAATCGTCGTTCTCGATCGCAATGTGTAGTTCATGGTTCAGATCGGTCTGCAATTGATCGTCATCCTGTTCACCAGCCGAATGTTCATGATGCTCTTCTTGTGGCTCATTTTGAGAACCTGTTGGGAGGGATGGGGTCGCCCCAGCCTCAGTAGATGGCTTGCTCTCTTTCATGCTTTCACACTCTTTCTCCTCTCTCCCTTCTCTCTCTTCTCTCTCTTCTCTCTCTTCTCTCTCTTCTCTCTCTTCTCTCTCTTCTCTCTCTTCTCTCTCTTCTCTCTCTTCTCTCTCTTCTCTCTCTTCTCTCTCTTCTCTCTCTTCTCTCTCTTCTCTCTCTTCTCTCTCTTCTCTCTCTTCTCTCCCTTCACAAGCAGCAGAAGTAGTAAGAGAGTGGTAAATCAATTGTTCCTGTCTGTTTTCCTCTTGCTCTCGAGGCTCAGGCGATTCCCCTGGCACTTTTATCGATAAATCGGAAATGTCTTCAGCAGATAGATGTACTTGACTGGGCGACTCGACCAGATCATCATCGTGGCCTCGGAGCTCTATGCTGGTCAGTATGAGAGTAAAAACCGGACGAGAGGCATGAGTACCTTCTAAGCCAGACTCCATGCCCAAAGTTTCTCAACTGATAGACTTAGTGTTGAGAAGTGAAGAAGCTGGAAAATCCCCGACCGAATGTATGTAGAAGAACTGGACGAAAACGAAAGCCGAGCGATGTCAGATAGCCAAATCCCCATGGGAAAAAGTTCGGAAATCAGCTGAAGATTAGCGCTGAGTCGATACACTATGGGATTGTCATATTCCCATCTCATTGGTGCATTTAGCTGCCCCTCAGAGCTGAACTGCTCAAATGGGGGGCCGTGAGCCCACAGTTGGATTCTTCGGCAGCGGAATGGCCCGTACCCAATTTGCATCCTTTTTGGGGGGTTTTTGATGCATCTCAAAGTTGAGATTATTGCGTATGGAGTACTCTGTACGGAGTACATGCTTTGGGGTTGTTGTGTGCCACGTTTCAGACTGGGCGCTTGTAGCTGGCGAGAGGCTGGTAAAGGAGATCGACGGGGGCGAGATTTCACGCTATACAATTCCACTAGAACAGAAGAAATTGCCATCACTGATAGTTTAAATTCAAGTCAATTTTTGGTCCAAGTACGAGCATCGCTCAGCTTTAGAAATGAGGGTGTCCTTATAAACACCAGTGGAGAAATTCTATAAACATAGGCATTCGTTAAAATTCAACTATAACTGCTCAACTCAATCAATATCCTCCCACTTGCTCCTGCATGCGGGACATGTGTGAGCGCATGCTAGCCATTTGTCGATGCATTTTTTGTGGAAGTTGACTCCACAGCCGATCTTGCACCAGGTTAATTCCTCTTGGTACTCATTAGCATCATAGTAGTTGTCATCATCCTCGCTATCATCTTCTTCCTCGCCATCCTCACTATCATCTTCGTCATCCTCACTATCATCATCTTCCTCATCATCATCACTGTCATCTTCTTCGTCATCATCACTATCACTATCCGTCTCATCTTCCCAGTCCACGGCTTGCTGTGGACCATGCAGATCACACAAACAGATCCCACAGTCCCCTTCAACCTCTCGGCGAGAAACCTGTGGCAATCTGCTCTTTCTACCATGAATCACAGTTCGCCTGGGGACTGAAACCCCTGTTGATGGACTCTGTGGTGTTTGATTCGAAACAGAAACCCGTCTGGAAGGAGCGATGTGGGCTTGCGCCGGTCGAGGCACTGCGGTTACCGACCGGACGGTGACTTCTGTAGAGGCTCTTTCCGCCACTCTCTCGGTATACCTCTCCTGTGAGACATGTCCTCCCGATGAACTGCCCAGCCTGCTTGGACTAACGGTTCTGCTTGAGTCCTCCGTCTCGCGACTATGAGACCTTGTAGTGCGCCCCCGGCCCGATCGAGCGCTTTCCACACGCCTGAGCTCTTTCAAGGCTTCAATACGCCTTCTCAGCTCTGCGATCCTTTCCTCCATTGCCAGATCAACGGGCTCGCTGGAGATACTTCGAGGTCGACGGCTGGCTCTTGGCGTAGAAGACGTGGCTCTAGATCTCGTGGGTGTGCTCTGCGAATCAAGATATGACCGAACTTTCCTTCGCCAGCTAGAAGTAAGTGTGGACGCTTGGTTCTGGTGAAACCGTGTGCAGAGGACGTGAGGAGCCAAATCTTCTAGCAGATTGTCGATGTTGCGACCGGCTTGGAGTTTCTCGGTGCCTTTGTCGAGTAGCGCCATTGCTGAGCTGCGGCCACGGGAGTTTGTGCGGATGTGGCAGCGGCGCCGCTGGGATGGGGCGTATCCGGCACACCATGGCTCTTCTTCTGGTTCCAGCTCGAGGATTTCGGATAGAGAGAGTGAGGGTTGGTTTGAGGTGGGATAGTTTCGGGATGGCATTGTGACTTCAGGAGTATGGTAGGGAAAGTTAAGATATGTTATAGTGAAGACGATGAAAAGAGTTCTTTCTCGGCTGAGTTATAGTCAACTTAGAAGTATGGATATTGTCAAGTTCATATCCTTCCAAGGCTGCTCTATATAGCCGCATTACATGTCGACTTTACAAAATACCGCATGGGACATGGAACCCTCTGCCACACCGTGGCGCAGTAAAGGTACCAGGGATCATGATAGAGAAACAAGGAATTGTAGTGCCTGGATGCACATCTGAATTTACATCTGCAGTAGCTTCATCCAAGGCACAAAAATAGAGAGCCTGGGGCTGAGTTGACAAGGGTAGTTCATGAAAAGAGGGGTCTTCTGTTGGTTCTTAGGTGATTTTGATAGGTCCCCGACAAAGGTACATTCATGTGTTTTAATGTTTTTCCTAGGACACTGCAAATGTTCCCATAAGTAGAAGATAAAGAGCAAAACTAGTCAAGGGGTTTTCCTGTGGCCTAGGGGTTTGGACCCCAGGGGAACCCTCCCAAGGAACTTTCCCATCCTGGGGAACGCGACTCACTGGGTCATGGGTTGCCCTAAAGGAAGCTCTGGGGTCAAACCTCAGGGCTTCCTTTTTGCTTTTTTCTTTTTCTTTCTTTGCTATTTTATATCTAGGGCGTTGAACTGAAAAGTGACTGGGACTGTCAAGGCATAGCCTTTTCACGGTGAAGTATCCGGTCCGAGCTAGCTTCGGACTTTTGCTACATAAGTGCATGCGAGATGTCGTAGTGGCGCTAAAGAGGATTGCGCCTTCCTCGTAGTGGACCATGCATCCAAGGACTTTACCCGACGCAAATTCGAGTGCCAGCTATATCTTCCACGATCTCATGTATTTATTATTTTGATTCACTGTGTACCAGGCAGTCCAGTAAGATCAGTGGACGGGACCGGCTATGGGGCTGTTGCCCATAGTTGCCGAATCTTCTCTATAGGAAGAAGAATAAGATAGGACCGCCTCTTATTTGAAATTCGCGAAATTGAATGAAACAGCCACCGTACGACGACATCTCCTTGTTTCAGGTTAAGAATATAAGTCCAAGCACCTCGGCAAGTCAAACGGTACAAGCCCCAACTGATCATCAAGACCAGGGCCAGAATTTCCTCTGTAGAAAGCATTGCCAAATAGACATGGTTCTCTTCACAATAGCATGTAAGTATCTTCGCCAGGCCGGCTGAAAGTTGAGAGCCAACTCAGGTCCCAACAAGCCTCTGCGAACCAATGCTTTACAGGTTTTTGTCTCCTCATCAGAGTCAATGGAGATGTATTCTGCATTCCGAATCATGTCCTTTGTCTTGCGTTTGACGTCGTATGCTAGCAAGGCCATTGTAGGATAGACATTGTGCCAACAAGCAGAAATAATCTCGTCAAGGACTTCGTTGCGGTTCAGTTCTGGAAATTCCATCTCCCCAAATCGACGATCCGATTCCTCGGCGCTGAGGATTACGTCGTCATAGGGTTCATGACCATATACCATGAAGTATAGAAGTGTCCCGACGGCAAACTGTTCGGTTCTGGCAGAACAGAGACCGTATGTGCCTTTCAATGGTCCAGCCAGTATTGGCATGGCCCGTGGAGGCAAGGTACCTTCAAGAAACTGTCCAATGGTGGTGGCACGGCCAAAATCAGTCAGCTTTAAATTGAAGTTCTTGTCAAGAAGACAGTTGCTTGCATGCAGATCATTGTGACAAAAGCCTAATTTCTCCACATACTCAAGAGCAGAGGTGAGTTGTTGTATCCATCGAGCGATGAGGGCAGGATCTTCGTATTCCTTCACTCTGATAAGGCGCCCATGAAAACCGTTTGCTTCTCTCTCTCGCTCCTGGCGTTCATAGAAGCGAGGGGTAATTGCCTTATGTGTGCAATATGATAGAAAAATATGGTCCGGGAGCATGAGAAAACATTCAATAATATTCGGACATCGATCCTGGCCCTCATTTAGACGTTTGAAAAACGCAATCTCCTTTAGGAAAGGATGCCCCTCTGCCTTTTCTTCAGGGGTTCGGTCGGGACGAACAGTTTTCACCACAATAGTAGGAGTGACGTGGTAGATATAAGCGTCAAGTCCTCCGCCAACCCAGTTATGTTGCTCGAGAGTATCCGCGCAGTGGAAGCCCATGGCGAATCAACACACATGTAATCGTAGTATTAGCCGTGCAGAGTTTTGGCAAAGATGTACAGAAGTAATAACGGTTTTGCAAAATAGTTTACAGGTTTTGTAAGGGAAGGACAGGAAGAGTGAAGGGAAGGGAAAGAGGGAGAAACCTTGGGATATTGTTTTGTAAATGAAGGCTCGATTTACGGCAGTACATAGCCGCCAGGACAAAACGTATTTTACCATAAGATTTACAACGTGACTAGGCACATGAATCGGCCTTCAAGGGGTAAATGTGATTCCCCAGAGAGCTTCTATTGCCCTCATCGACATGTCTCACGGTGTGGAAAATCTTTGTATCGCCAATATTTTCATCTTGTCGCTTCGTTTCATCCATTTACGTATTTGTGGCCTGGCCACTTGAGAAAATCCCTTTCATATCTGACAAAATGGCAACCCAAGGGGATGAGGAACAACTTGCTGTAAGTGAGAGATTTGCCATCAGCTTCCATCGCTGATAATATCTTCCTACCTCTCCAGGCGAACCATCCATCCGTCGCGGATAACAATGTTCCTGAGCAGGCTGTTGCAGGTTTTCAAAGCAGGCGTCGGCGCTTGATGGTTGGTATATTTGCCGATACTTATCTTCTGGATGATGGAAAAACTGTCAGCAAGGTACCTCGCAGTGAAAGTGATGAGCACTTGCAGCCTATACTCCGCGAAGCTATGATCTATGACATTATCGGAGCCCATCCACGAATCGCTGAGTGCTTGTCACGAGGCAGCGATGATGTTAAATGTGTCAATATTCGATATTATCCGCACGGCGATCTTGTTAGTTATTGCCAAAAACATGGCACAACTCCTGCGCTTCGTTCAAAATGGTTCCAGCAGATACTGGAATCCATTGTCGTCATTCACTCTTTCAATGTCATTCACTCGGACTTGGCGTTGCGTCAATTTTTTGTTGATGACAACCTCGATATACGCTTGGATGACTTCAACTCCTCTCAATGCCCTGGATATCCAGCATTGGGGTACGAAAAGGCATCACATTGCCTACCTCGTGATTACGAACTTCCAAATACGGAGGCTTCCGATATTTTTGCTTTGGGCTCTACTCTTTATGAACTAGTCGTTGGCAGAGCTCCTTACTACGAACTGAATCCGGCTGAACACAATGATGCTGATTCTATGATAGCACATATTCGGCGGCAACACGCGGTGATTGATCCTGAGATTGAAGAGCGGTACAAGAAGCTGCAATTTCCGGATGTTGGAGATGTTCAGCATGGAGATATCATATTAGGATGCTGGAAAGGGCAATTTGCCTCGGCAAAAGAAGTGCTTGATATGTATTTAAAACTGTAAATGCAACAATTGCTGGTTTATCTTCCACGAAAGTATAATATAATTGATTGATGTGTCCACTCCAGAGATAAACACATCCTGCTCTGCGACGCTGGGCAAACTCAACTCCGCCTTTAGTAAAGACACTAGGTCGGAGTACAAGGAATCTCCGTTCTACCTCGGGGAACTATGGAGTAGACTCTTTATCGATTCTTGCTACTTTCTAGTATATGACCTTGCATGATTTGATACTTCTGTGTAAGCTCTTTCTTTTCCTTCTCATTTTCTTTGTCTCATGAATTTTCTCTTGAGTAGTATCTTTGATATAGGCAAATTGACTGTCGTACGGAGTAGTTCTCAGGTTGAACGAGAAACATAGGGCTGGAAATATGCAAACAAGGCAAACACAGCTTTGTATAGTTCTCCACCTGGAAGGACACGAAGCACTCTTGACTCACAGCATTGGAGCCTGATTTTAAAACTTCTTACTTCTTCACACTAATCAATTTATCCCCATTAGCAACCTCAGATCTGCCCACAAACCCAGCAAGAGCAAGAGCCCAGCTCGAATCAAAATGCGGCTCTTATTAGCCCTCGCATGTCTCATTGCGCCAACCATATGCGCAAAGCCAGGGAACGATGCAATCCGCCTCTCAAATGTCCAAACCCTCACACTACATGCAAACCGACTGACCAGCGCCCGACGGGTCTCCCCAATCCCACAACTCAACTGCATCGGCCCAAACAAGAAAGTATGCAACCTCTACCAACCAGACGTCATGCGCTGCACAAACCAAGGCCACGACTATGATCTCGAAGACGTACAGTGGACATGCACGGCCGATCTACCTCCTGAATTCAAGCTCGGCGCTACAGATGTCATTTGTGAGGGATACCGCCATGCAGACGATAAGTGGGTTCTGAAGGGGAGTTGTGGGGTTGAGTATCGTATGTTGCTTACTGAGCTGGGTGAGGAGAGGTTTGGATACACTAGCTGGGAGACGACTGATTGGGATAAGATGAGCAAATCGCAAAAGTTCTGGACTGGGCTTGGGAATTTGATTTTCTTCGGTTTCCTACTTGCGGTGTTTTTGATGATTGCTGTGCCTTTTGTTCTTTTGCTGGCGGAATGTCTTGGGTTGCGAAGGAGTCGCGGGGACGGTGAGGGTCGAAGGTGGGGTGGTGGTGGTGGGCCAGGTGGAGGAGGGCCTCCTCCGCCGCCATATAGCGCCTTTGATTCCCACAAGTCTACAGATGACCAGCGATGGAGGCCTGGGTTCTGGTCTGGTGCAGCAGGTGGTGCAGCGGCTGGTTATGGGTTAGGAAGATACTACAACGGCGAAAGACGCACCGCACCGAGAAGATCTGGTGGCTACGACGCCGGCGAAGGCAGCTCACGCACACCGTCATTTTCGTCTACGACTGCAAGTACTGGATTCGGGTCGACAAGGCGCAGGTGATACATCTACGATGTCAAAGTCAAGATGCGGCTGGATTGAATCTCGAGACCTGTGCAATTGAAAAGTACCCAGCGAAAAAAAGCTAACTGGTAATTCCTCAAACGAGGACGAAATGAAACTCCTCTCCTGATAGACCCTTGTGTATATCCCTTTCCGAACGCCACATCCAAAACACCTTAAAACGTAACCCATTATTTCATTATGCGCAGTCAGATATTGTATCAAGCAGTTGGGAAGTCATCAATTGATCCCACAACCTCCTCTGTGCCACCACCAGCATCCTTCACCTGCTTCTTGCGTGACTTCTTGACAGGTCCCTTCTCGTTCTTTTCATCAGTGGCATCGCCACCAGTAGGGTTGCGCAAAAGCTCTTGCTGTAGTTCTTGTTCCTTGGCGTGCTGGTCCTCGATGCGCTTCTTGTCCTCATCAAGTTCCTGCTGGACAGCTCTGGGATCATCGTAAACAGTGTTTGTCATCTCTGAGTAGGCGGCGATGGTAATAGATTCACGAGGACCGAGCAGGGTATCCTTGATGCGCTGTGGATCACGACGCTCCTCGTTGTTGAACTTCAATTTGATCTGTCGACGAGACCTTCCGGGAAACATTTTGCTGATAACCATGAAGTCGGTGCCGAACATGCGCAGACCGCGATAGAAAAGCTCCGTCATAGTCTCATCCCATGTTTCGGTCTTGGAACGCTTGCCATAAGTAGCCTGATTGATTTTGCGGGTGAATGAGCTTTCTTCCACATCCTCCAGCTCACCAGCCTCCCGTGCAGCATCTGCGTGGCGATCGACTTGCAAGGATGTATTATCCAGCACAATCTCGCCGTTGACGACTCGCATTTTCGGACCGGATTGGGGTTTCCAGTTGACCTCTTGCTCTTGCGGTTCGGGTTCGGGTTCCTTCATTGGTGTCCCGCCACCTTGCTTTTTCCGTTCCTCTTCCTCCTGATCCATCTTACGCAATTCAATCTCGCGTTTGGATTTCTTTCCGGTTCGCAGGTCTTTGCAAAGCTCGGACATCTTCATGACATTTGGCAGGATCTCCACACCCTCGGCATCTTCGGGGGTTGGTTCGCGCTTCTTACGAGTGCGCTTCGGCTTCTCGTTGCCTTCTGGATCAGAGGTCTCGGCCTTGGAAAACTTCCGCTTCTTCGGCTTCGTAGTGGGATCGGGGGTTGAGACACTGGATCCACCAACAGTTTGAGTTGGATCTTCAATGGTGGGGACAACCGACTGGGAACCACGACGACTGGTTGAAGCGGATGATGCGGCTGATGTGGACTTCCTCCGGTTTGGTTTGGCGATAGGCGTCGGCACCGCTTTCTTAGCGCGCTTGGCGGGTGGGACATCGCTGCGGGTCTCTTTTGGGACGGAAGGTTGTTGCTGACCCTCATTAGGTTCGACTATGTTTTCTGCGGCGCGTGCAGCTTCGACTCTGGCATAGTCCAGCAAAGCCTGTTCTGGGCCTTGGTCCTCCGCTGTTCGGGACTCATTGGTGGAAGTGACGGCAGGTGGTGATGGTTGAGTAGGAGGCGGGGTGGGCGGAGCACTTGTGTCAGGTTCGGGTTGATCAATGACCTCTGCCTTACGCTTTTGCGGAGTAGGGATGGAAGTCGGCTTTGGGATCGAAGCAGGCTTTGAGATCGGAGTAGGTTTGGAGATCGGAGTAGGTCTGGCAATCGGAGTAGGCCTGGATATCGGAGTAGGTTTAGAGATTGGTGTGCGCGGAATTGGAGTCGGTTTGGATATCGCAGTCGGCTTTGGGATAGAGGTTGCGTTTTCAGTTCCCGTTGGAGCGGGGGTGGGGGTTGATTCCGTCACAGCTGCAGCTGCAGCTGGTGCAGGTGAGGCAGACACCGCAGGCCTTTCAGCCTCCGCAACGGGAGGCGTGACACCGACCGGTTCATTGTTCACCACTGTTTCCGTAGCAGGCTTCGGCTGGGGAGTTTCGGCCGGCGACTGCTGAGCTACGCTGGGTCGTCGCGCAGGCGCCGCGGGCGGGCGACGCGCGGGCGCCTTGGGGGCGAACTTCTTGCCGGTTTTATCTTGAAACACAGAGTCAGGATGGTTAAAACGGAAATTGAGGGACAGTACTTACTGATCGCACTGGAAAAAGACTTCATGGCTGCCCATTTCTGTTGGTGGAGATGAAGTTCGAAGATCGCAAAAAGTTCCTGGGGAAGATGGGTAGTTGTCACGTGAGAGGCGCTAAGAAACGCTAAACCTCGTTGAAAATCCTCCTGTCTTCATCTTCTCGATCTCTGCCATCCCACCCCTTCTCCCGCCCTCGTACCTTGCTTTTCACTTTCCAGGACCTTTTTTCTATCTAATTCCTCGGCGTATTTTTATTCTACCGGACTTTCCTTCGACATTGGACCAAGTCGCGATATCTGCGCCTGGCTGACTGACGGACGGTCCGGTGGTGATAGCATCCCATGCCAGTCTAGCCACTCATGCCGGCCGTCGAAACCCCCGTTGCGACTTCAGATATCGGGCTCGTCAAGATGGAAGACCGCAAGAGGCCCGCCGCGGACAACAATGAGTCGGCCCCGCCGTCAAAGAAGCAGGCGACCACCGCCAACGGCGGTACCAAGCCCCATCCGGATGCCGATATGCCATGGAAAGATGATTTGGAGGTGAGTTTGAGCCCCGATTTTGCTCCGCGATCTGAATATCATACATGTCGGCGTGCCATTTTCATATACTGATCCGGATCGTTTTCGATAGCGGTTTCAAAAAGAAGCGATACTGCGTCAAATGGCGGAGTATAGACGAGAGCGAAATACTCTGGAAACACAACTAAAGAAAATGACTCAAACTGCCACGTTTCATAATGATCACCTCCGCATTATTGATGCGTGGTTCACACAGGTGAGTCTCGAGTCTCCTTTTTTCTCCCTGATCACCCAGGGAGTGACTAACGCAGGCAACTAATCGTCTCTCAGTTAATCGACGAACTTAAATTACTTCTCGGGTCATCTGAATCTGAAGATCATGGTCAGTCCCAACCTAGGGCCCCACTTCAGGCGCAAGGGTTCAGTGCTGACAAGTTTAGCAGAAACCTCTTTCAAAAGCTCATTGCAGTTCGAGGACGCTGAAGAATTTCAATCCCATCTGACAGCCCGATCGGAGGATATTCGCGCAATAATTTCCAAGGTCCAGGCCAAGGCTAGCAATGCGCCCGCCGAGCTTTCGGAAGTACAAAATCGCCTCGCCAAGAAGCTATCAGAGGAGAAGGTCACCATTGCCAAGCTCGAAAAGGCTCTCGCCGAGAAACAACAGGTGGAGGATTGTCTAGAAGTCGCCGCCTCGAGGTACATGAGGGCCGAACAGAAGCTGGACCGTGCAAAGAGTGTCACTGTTGCGAAATTAGAAAAGCAACAATTGATGGGCAGTCAGCAATCCGGGGAAACGGCACAATCGAAGCAAGAGGAGTCATCACCAGCCAACGGTGGCACTCCCGTGACGGATCGCAACCCCGAACTAGAGGAGGCACATGCCAAGCTGAAGGCAATTTCGGAAAAGCAAAAGGAACAAGTCCAGAAGCTGGAAGCCGAGAATGCTAGCTTGCTCAGCCAAATCACTGAAAACAAAGTCAAGGTACGGTCTACTCCTGTCGTTTAACAACCGCTCTGTGGCTCATTCTTTGATCCCAGTCTACGAAATTCACCGATGACGACTACGCACATACGGATCTGTTTAAACACCTTCGGTCTCAACATGACGATGTAGTTAAGCGCATCAACCATCTGGAAGCGACACATGTTCAACTTCGCGAGGAAGCAGAGAAATACCGAACAGAAAGAACTGCCTACAAAATGCAACTGGAGAACGAAACTTCAAATACAATTGCGGAAAAAGAGGCACAACTGATGAGGGCCGAAACGGACCTTGCCAGGATACGAAATGCTCGTGATGAACTACTGGCTGATCAACAAATGAGGAAGGCTGCTCAGGACCAAGAGAAAACATCTGCTTTGAAGTTGCAGGAACTGGCAGATGCCCGCGAGGCTCGAATTACAGCTTTGGAATCGGAGAGCCAACGGTTAAGGCTTCAAATCGAGGGCTCGAAATCAGACGAAACCATTAACGATATGCCGCTTGAGGAGCTCCGCGCCAAGTATACCAGTTTGGACCGTCAATACTCGATGCTCAACACGGAATTGACGTCCATGCAATTGGCATACAAGAAGTTTGCCACGCTTGCATCTCAAAAGGTCACCGACTTCGGGGCAATGGAGGAAAAGGTTGCACGGTTAACAGCGGAGAAGTCGAAAGCAGATCAGAAGTTCTTTGCTGCAATGAAGAGTAAAGAGGCCCGGGATGTGGAAGTCCGCACCTTACGGATGCAAAGCTCGAAGACCTCTGATATTGTGTCTCAGTTGAAGGAGTCCGAGGCGGGCAGTCGCTCACTTGTTGCCAATATGGACAAGCAGGCTAGTGAGACCAAGGAGGCCTTGAACGCAGCCATGGCGAAGCAACGCTCCATTCAACAGCAGCTGACTGAAACGAACATCCTCACAGAAGGGCTGAAGAATCAGGTGGCAGAACTCAAGGCACTTTCCGTGTCCAAAGACTCCACGCTCGGGGCCACCAACTCCTCTTTGCGCCAAGCCGAGACAGAAGTTGCAGCTCTCAAGCAATCACTTTCAGATACCAAGAAGAGTCTGGAGAACTGGAAGAACAAGAGTCTTGGCAACTCGACTGCTGAGTATGAAGGGTTACGGGTAAGTTCCCATGTGTCCAAGTCACCTTGTACTATGATAAGGAGGCCAACGCTAACTGCCATAGTCACTGGCATTGTGCACAGTATGCCGATCCAACTTCAAGAACACGGCGATCAAGACATGCGGTCACGTCTTCTGCAAAGATTGTGTTGAGGAGCGTCTCACCTCTCGTTCCCGCAAGTGCCCTAACTGCGGCAAATCCTTCGGCAGCAACGACCACATGCATGTCACCCTGTGATCGACCCGTGGGCTCTGTATTATATCTTTCTCTTTCGACGCAATCCTCTTTACGGTTATGTTTTTTTAGTATCTTCCATTCGGACAGGTTCATGGTTCGGTGTTGCGTGGTTTAGGTCGGTCAGGGCCGGCGTTTGACGAGTTATGTACGGTCCGCCCTTCGGGGCTTTATTATTTTTCTTTCCCCATTCCCTTCAAGGATATGACCAGGGCTCTCTTGTCCTCGCGCTGATTTACCGGCGACTATCTAGATTTCTGTAGGAATATTTATTGTACGGCGACCAAAAAAAGGCAACGAATGCAATGCAGCACATTCTCCATGAAACCAGCTCATGATTATTGTTTCTAGTTATATTATAATTTATATGGGATCTTTCAAGAGTTGAAAATCCGACTATACAACAACTCATGCCTCCCAATCCACAAATCCAAAGCCGGCACCACCTGTCCCGCCTGCTCAACAGGCGTATTCCACTCCCTCCCAATCCTCTTCATAATAGTATCCTGCAAACTCTGACTCGCCAACACATTCTGCGCCTGATATGGTCCCATGACACTCGCTCGCACTGCCGCACTCAACACCGCCTTGGCATGGTTCACCACGAACACGTACGCCGTCTGCTGCAGATCCAATCCCATGGCACGACAGACAGTGCCCCAAAGCGGGGCAAAGTGCCCCTTTGGACCTAGCTCGTCGTCGTCCACGCATGACTTCAATGCATCGGATAATTCATCGATTGCTTGGACGGCAGGGTCGGTGGAGTCTGCGTCTGCGAAGGAGGTGCGGAATGCGCGTTCCCAGACGCCAATTAGGGCGCGGCCTTGGGCGATACTGGCTCGCTGGGCGACTATGCAGGGTGTTGAGGCGTCAAGGTCATTATCTAGGGTTTCGAGGGTCTCGGGCTCCCTGTACCCTGCTAGTACGTAGGGGAGGGATGTGCTTGCGAGAGAGGCGATGGAGAGTTTGAGGAAGCGGTGGAAGGTTGAGGCGGGAGATGTGCGGGATGGTTTGTTGTGGGCGAGGTATGATTCGAGTCCGCTGGAGTAGGCGAAGGAGCCTAGTGGGAGGGCGGAGTCGGAGAGGAGGAGGAGGGCGTGTAATGATGATCGGGTTGTGTTGAGGGGATTCTTATTCTTCTTATTATATGTTTCTGGGGAGGGTTAGCTGGGGTCTGGGGATTGTCTGGGTCTGGGGTATGCTTCTTACCTTTAATTGACCAGCTGTTGGGGTGAGATGGTGGTGGGCTGGGGCATTCGGAGGCTGCTAGTTGCGCGCGGGCATCTTGCAGGCGCGATTCGAGCTGAGAGACCTCTGCCTCCAGGTCTTGATTGAGGAACATGGTAGGTGTATGTATATGTGTGTAGGTGTAGTGTGTATAGTATGTAGTGTGTAGTATGTAGTGTAGAGTGTGAAGTGAAATATCAAAGTAATGGAGCCCCAGAGGTTAAGTACATGCAAGTGCCGATTTCCCGGCAGAAAACAGTGGGGCGGCGATGGCCGCACAACCCGAGGACTCCCTATCAATTGACTGTTCGCATTATTAACACACTAAGTACATTAGGTACTGCTGTTATTAACACCCGTTACTCATATCTCCTTTTTTCTGCCATCTCCCTACTTCCCCCGACCTCCTTCGTCATGCTCTAAGCGATCATGTCAGGCAGGCGTTTACTCGACGCCTTACAATTCCTAAATGTCTCCAAGACAATTGCTGCAAAGCATTTAGCGATTCGACAACATCAACTCGATGTCTATACGCGGACCTCATCCCTAACCAAGGGCATCAAGGCCCAGACGGAAGGGTTGATCCTGACCGCTCAAGCCGCCGCCGCTCTCGCCCGCCGATTTGACGACGCACCTCCGCCGAGCTCGGCAAACTCGCCCCCGGCCGCCGACAGGGCCACTGCAACATCGCCACCCCCCGATCAGGCGCGCAAACTGCAACGTCAGGCTGAATCTCAGATTCCTGCGGATGTCGCCCAGTATACCGGCAAGGAGAACTCCGATGCATTGAATGTGAGCCAGCAACAGGATGTCTTTTACGAGCCGTTCACCCAATCCGGGCCGGATTTGTCGAGCTTGCCGAGAGTCAAGCTCCCCAAGGTCGCCGGCGACGCTCAAGTGGGTAATAGTGAGTTAAATGCGGATGTCTTCACCTCGCCGGTGCCGAACAAGCCGGCACCCGAGGAGGAGATGTCAGAGGAGATGATACAGGGTCTCTTCCACAGTCCGCGAGTATCGCGGATGATCGCAGGAAAGCCACCACCAAAGAGGGATTGGAAGCTAGCACCGAAGCCTGAACAGTCAGGTGTCGATGTCGCCAAGCCCATCTTGCCGACACCTGTGAAATCCGAGACCGAGCAAATGGAAGAGCTGGCCGCCAGCGTCGCAGAGGACGTGGTGCCGAGCACGGATACCGTCGAGGTCAAGGCCAAACCATACCAGATGCTGGAGTCACGCGTGCCGTCTTCCCGGCTCGGCCGACTCTGGCAGTACAGTGGTCTGGCGACCTCGATGGCATTTGGTGCGGTCGGCGAAGGCCTGCGCCGCGCCACTGGCAGTCAGGATAGTGGCTCGCTCATGTTTAGTGCCGGTAACATGGAACGCATGGTCGCCAAGCTATCCAAGATGCGCGGGGCAGCTTTGAAGCTCGGCCAAATGCTCAGTATCCAAGACTCAAATATGCTCCCCGAGCCAATCCAGCAAGTCCTGCAGCGGGTCCAGGATCGCGCGGACTACATGCCCGCCTGGCAGCGTGACCAGGTCCTAGTCGAAAACCTTGGACCAAACTGGCGTGACCTCTACACGTCATTCAATGAGGTTCCGATGGCGGCTGCCTCTATCGGGCAGGTCCACTCTGCTGTTCTGAAGAGCACCGGCAAGCCCGTCGCTGTCAAAATTCAGTACCCGGGTGTCGCAGACTCCATTGACAGCGACCTCAACAACCTCTCCATTCTCTTGACGGCCTCCCGCCTCCTGCCCAAGGGTCTTTTCCTGGACAAGACCATCGCCAATGCCCGGACGGAACTAGGCTGGGAATGTGACTATGTCCGCGAGGCCGAAGGCGCCAACTACTTCCGAACTCTTCTCGCCGACGACCCGGTCTTCGTTGTCCCCGAAATCATCGACCACGCCTCCGGCAAGCAAGTCCTGACAATGGAAATGCTCGAAGGCATAACCGTCACCCGCATCGCCGACTTCACCCAAGCTCAGCGTGACTGGATCGGCACTCACATCATGCGACTGTGTCTCCGCGAAATTACCGAATTCCACTACATGCAAACAGACCCCAACTGGACTAACTTCCTCTACAACGCCCAGACCCACAAACTGGAGCTTCTGGACTTTGGCGCCTCCCGCGCCTACCCAGAGGAATTCATCACCACGTACGTGCGCACCCTCATCGCCGCCACCCAGAACAACCGCCAGAAATGCCACGACCTGTCCATTGAACTGGGGTACCTTACCGGCATGGAAAGCCAGGCAATGTCCGATGCACACGTCTCATCTGTCACCACCCTCGCGGAACCATTCATGCTGTCCTCGCCTGATCTCTACGATTTCAGCAATCAGACCATCACCGACCGCGTGCGTGAGCTGATCCCGATCATGATCCGGGAGCGGTTGGCCCCACCACCCGAGGAGACTTATAGTCTCCACCGCAAATTGAGTGGTGCGTTCCTGCTGTGTGCCCGACTTGGCAGCCGGGTCCCTTGCAAGCAATTGTTCATCGACGCTGTCGATGCAGCAGAGAAGCGAGGCTTGAAACTGTAAAACTCTGTACTATAGACCTATACAATGTATAATACGATATACGAAATTCTACTCTGGATTCGGCCTGATCTTCACAACCAGGACACTGAGTAACAGGTGTATTAAATTAAATACTGATCCCGGCACAACCTCGGCTTGACATGTCAATCCTACCCAGTTCCGGGCAGTCCGACCGAGACGATACTTGTAGCGAAGCACTACGGAGCACAGTCTCAACGAATCAGCATAAAACCCTCCCCAGGCCGGCTCTACACCGTCGCACTACGAGTAGATTATCTTATCTGATCCGCCTCCTCGGCCTTTGTGATTCGTGGAGAATCCTGGCTTAACCCTAACTAGTACTTAAGTAGCCTGAAGAGCTCCACATCTATATAGGTCCTGAGACATGCAACGGACAGCCAACGACAGCCCTGAGGGAAATTGGGATCTGACGTCGAAGTGGAGGTATATGTAGATCCAATATACGAGTACTAACACCGAGCCCGAGCATCACTCGAGCAGGTATAAGTATCCAGGCAGATCAGCTCAAATCGAAAACACTTCAATTCCATATCCAATTCAAGACTCAGTTCCTCACAATGCGTCTCTCCACAATCAGCATCATCTGTGCCTTCCTGGCCTCAGCCCTAGCAATGCCAACCCAGGACTCCGCCCTTTCTACTCCCGATGTAAATCCTCAAAGCAAACCCACATTGCCAGAAACTGATCTAGATGTACAGAATATCGCCAAACGCGACATCTTCGCCAAACGCTGCTGCATCCTCTGCGACAACAACCGCTGCGGATCCCGCAACGAGAAACGCGAACCATTCTATACCGAGGAGGAGGCCATGACTGCGCCTGAGCGGTCGGAGGTCGCGAAGCGTGACATCTTCGCTAAGCGCTGCTGTATCCTCTGTGACAACAGTAACCGCTGTGGAGCTAGCGGTGTTGAGACGCGTGAGGTCTTCCATACTGAGGAGGAGGCTTTGGCGACTCCGTTCTGAGTGATGTCTGATGTGTGGGGGCATTGCCTCCAGGTTTCCAAATGTGTTTGTCCTTGGAGACATTGGGAAGTGTCAAACCAGTTGCAGTATATTGCATTGGGACTAGAGAGGTATCAGATATCCAGAAAACATCCCTGTACGGAGTACGGAGTAGTATACAGCAAGCAGGTCGATCAAGATTCAAAGACAGCATGCCAGTACTTGCGCACACCCTCACAGATACCCTCATACTTATTCCAACTCTCAAACCTAGGCTCCAAGTGACAAGCAGTCCACATAATCTCATACCAAAACACCCTCTCCACATCCACCTTCCTATTAAACCCGGCCACCACATCTTCCGGAATTGTCCAAGCCCGCGTATACTCCCCCTCATCCGTGAACGCAGGATTAACCTCATGGTTCTCGAAAATCGTCGCAGGATTAAACTTGGGGAAATTGGCATGGATGAAGAATACACCGGGTGCAAGTGCCTTGTCGCCTTTCACGCGCGATAATCCCTGCTTGATAAGTGCGTAGTCTTGCATTGGATTGAATTGCGCCATTGCAGAGCCGGCGAGGCCGCCTTTGGTGCGGTGGCCTAGGGCGCAGATTGATTCGCTGACTTGGTAGAATGGTTCGTTGGTGGCCATTGCTGCGGCTAGGAATGTTTCTTTGTCGCCTTCGCCTGCGGCGCCTTGGGAGAGGAGGGGGTAGTAGTGTGTTGGGCCGTGGAAATTATAGTACGTGCAGAGAAGGAGGGTGCGGAGGTGTGATTTTTTGGAGAGGAGGAGAACGCCGGACTCTGTGGACTGGCGGAGGTTCATGGGGGGAGCATTGTAGCCGGCGATTTGGTAGAAGAGAGGGGAGGTGGAAGAGGCCCAGAAATCAGGCCATGTGAGGAGGCCGGTTGAGAGGAAGGGCTCGTTGTTGAAGAGGAGGTCTGGTTTCTCGAGGGGGAAGGCGTCGGCGTCTAGGAACAGGATCTCTTGAAATGAAGAGAAGAGCATGGCAAATGGCTTGAATTGATACTTTTCAATTTTGGTCGGGGATGATTGTAGCATTTGCGACAGAATGAGGCAGCGTGCATTCAGTGATGGGAGAACCTGGTCACATATGTAGGGTTCGTATTCTTCTTCGGTCGCTAGGAAGACTTCCATCGGCAGCTTTGAGCCTGTTTGGCGGAGCATGCGGAGTGAGATCACTAGTACGGGTAGGTAGGGGCCGCCTGCTGTGGAGACAATGCCCCGTGTATGGGGCTTGTAGTATGGTCTCGGTGGGTTTGCGAGGGCAGCCAAGAACCCGGTGTGTGCCTGTTTCATCTTTATCAGGTCTTCCTGTGGAATGTTGAGGACATCAGGACGCGTTGGTGCATCGTGGGCGTTGAAGCCCTGGGTTGGCGCTTTCACATCTTCGACAATTGGTGCAGTGTCTGGTTTGTATTCTTCCAGTAGAGAGTGGAACTCGCGCCAGAAGATTTGCGGGGACGGTTGTAGCGGTCTACTGGACAAGTATGAGCGGGTCAATATCCATACTAGGAGTGTCAGCACGAAGGCAGATGTCAGCGTTCGGCCGCGGACGCAAGAGCGGGTCATCATGCATTTAGTTCAATGATCGACAGAGCTGTCAGGTACACGGAGCTGTCAGGTACAAAATTCAGCCCAGCAGAAACATTGGTTACTACATACCCCGACCGCCCTTGGATGGAAATCGCCGGATGTAGACATCACATGTACAACTTCCCTCACACACTCCATACACATTCACTACACATTCACTAACCCTTCGTCGCCAAAATCCACTGAAATGCAATATCCTTCACACTTCCATTCTCCTCCTCAGCATCAACAACCACCTCATCAACATCCACCACAAACCCAATCTCCCCCAAAAGCCGTCTAGTCTCACTCCTCCCCCATCCACTCCAATGCATCTTCCCCACCGTCCCACCCAACCAAGCCGAATCAGAAGCACTCACAAACCCCATCTCCGGAAAATTAGCCAACAACCGGCCCCCAGGCTTCAACCACCCGAAAATCCGACGCAACATAACACTCTGCTCATCCCGCGGCAAATGAAAAATAGAATACATAGCCAAGACAGCATCAAACTGCTGCCCAAATTCCAATCCCATCATATCCCCCTCTATCAGAGTCACTGAGTGTGGAAGTCTTTCTCGCGCAAGGGTAATCTGCGACGAGGAAATGTCGTTGGCGGTCACCTTGTAGCCGTGGGCGGCGAGGAGCTGGGTACAGGGGACGCCGGCGCCGCAGCCTAGTTCTAGGATGCTTTTGGTGGGGTCCATGGACTTGAGCATGGTCTGTAGGTAGGTGAGGCGGGTTGTGTGTGTTGGCTGTGTCCAGTCTAGGTAGGTGTTTGCGACATTGTCGTATGCCTTTTTGATGTCGTCTTTGATTTGGGCGCTGCTTGGGTCGGTCATTTTGATGCAAGTAGTTCTGTGTGTGGTGCACAGTATCAAGGGAATTCTGCTTGTTATATAGTTCGTAGTGCTTACGGTGAGTCATTTTATATAGGGATCCTAAAAGAGTTTAGCTTGAGGGGAGCTCACTGGAGTCCGGGGAAATAGAATCCGGGGAAGGCATACATACTATATTCAAGACCGAATCTGGTCTGGTGTGTCCTACTAGGTGAAAATAAATAGTTTAGCACGGAAGGTCATTCTTTTGACCTCAACTAGTATAGCAACTTTAAAATTTCATCGCAGGTATATATCCGGGTATCAAAATCAAAAGACATGAACATGTAAGCAAAGCTCAGCCAGATCAAGCAAAAAATAAATAATACATCCTAACCCATCAAACCAACCCCCCAAAAACACAGCTCACCCCTCACTCAAAGCCGACAACAACGAAGCAGAAAGCGGAGAATTAGCCATACTCATAATGCCCCTACGGGCACGCGCATAGTCAAAACGACTCGGATGGCGAGATTCGCCCTCCCCATCTGAAGTGGTCGGTTCCCTCGATGCCCCCACACGCTGTAATCTGGCAATGCGCCGCTCATTTTCATCAGCCTCGTCTTCCTGGATCTCTTCTAGCGAGAGACCACGTGGTCGATCGCTCGGTTCAGCCATAGAGTCGGGGTTCTGTCCTGGATCGCGGGGGAATTCGCGAGCCTGGGAGCGGCGTAGACCGGGCCCGCGGGTTTGTAGTGGGCTTTTTGCTCGGGCGAGGTGGGAGAATTGTGATGCGGTGGCGTTGTCGATGTGGAGGTGGAGATTGAGGGTCATTGAGTTTTCGTGGTCCATGTTTGGAACATTTATTCCGGGTGGTTGAGGCTGAGGCTGGGGTTGAGGTTGGGGTTGAGGTTGGAATTTGGGTTGGTCATCATTCTGGTCTTGGCTACGGTCTCTCCACAGGTTTTTGAGTGTTGTCTGGAGGAGATTGTTCTGCAGATTGATGCCGTTGTTGGTGAGAGCCATGTTCTGGCTTTGTAGTTGTTGCTGATATGGATTCAACGCGCCGTACTGGCCTGGATAAGTACCTTGGAAATGATTATCAGGAAATGGGGGTTCAGGTGGGATTTGCATCTGAGATCTGTTAGTCCAGGCCACTCTTGATGAATCCATCCCGAGGACCAATTTTACACACCTGGCGACTGAACTTCCTTCCTGGCATGGCAATGTATTCATCAAACATACTTGCCAGTTCTGCAAAATTGTAACCACGTGGCCCTGATGGCTCAAATCGCTGTCCAATGTTCTGACGAAAATCAATACTTCGACGCGGCAGAGGTTGAAATGCAGGCAATTTCAGCACCGGAGATGGATAACTGCCCATCTTCGCAGCGATGACCGGTTCAATATCCATAGACAAGGAGACCCTGCTGTCGGCAGCAGGCTTGTGAATTAACATGACAAAGGTGAATTCGCGAGGGAGACCGGATCGCTGAAGATCATTTTCCTCCAAGGACCAGACAATCTCCCCAGCTTCAATATCAAAGCTGGGACCTCGATCACTCTTCAATGTCCGTGCGGAGCCTTGGATACGCATCATCTCATAGCGCCGATATCGACTGTTGATACTGCCCGAGGGAATAACGCTAGCGCTTACGGGCATTTCCGAAACCCCAAGAGACCCAGCCAGACTAAAAGTCCACTCCATAGTCTCAGGAGAGACAGTGCCGTAGATCAGATGAGGTGCGTGCATGAGAAACCGCGGGTTTCCAGGCGGGTGCCCATAAGGGTGGTGATGAGAATTCGAGTACTCGCGACTGCCGCGAACCGAAACACGAATTTTGGCAGACTTGAAGCGATGCGAGAGTGTGTTAGGTGAATGGAAGGTGAATGCAATAGCCAAGAAATCCACATGGGCAGAATCCTGGTCGGAGACTGCCGGGTTGGAGTAGTAGCCATGCTGCAGACGCTCGACATGGGCTGTAACATAGGCATCTGCAGGAAGCTGGCGCTCATAGATACAAGCGCGGTTGAGCAGTAGACGTGGGTTGTTCATATTGGGATCTGGTGGTGGTTTCTCTTTGGCAGGTGGTACACCTGTGATGGGGGTTAGTGAGCGGTCGTCCGAGGGACGCTCGTTCTGGAAATTCGACGCCATTTTGTTCTGGCAGTCGCAGTGCGACAAGACTGCTGTTTGGTTGAAAACGCTTGTCAATGCTGTCCATCGGGCACTTTTCAGACGCAGCCGTCTTTTGAATTCAAGGCCGGGCCGCAAGGCATATATTCGGTCTATATAAGATTTAAGCTGACCATCCGAGTCATTTACTGTGGGCTTCATTGTCGCAAGCGATGATGTTCCCCATCACCTGGAGCTTTGAAGTGTCAGTTTTATGAGTCAGGTGTGTCAGGAGCGGATCAGGTGGGCATATCCATGGATACAGATCGTGACGCGGCACTAGGCAGTGAATGCTTGAAAATGATAGTGTCATTTTGGAAGATCTGCGGCTGGAAATAAGCAAATGTGTGTTATTTTTGTATTTCGTAGTAATATGAAATGGAGTATGTATAGAGTGTCAAGAGAAGAATGATGGGGCGCAGTCTAGAGCTCGGATAAACCATTAATCCGCGCCAGGACCTGATCGCCGAGGTCTGGCAGCTCAGTTCGTTTCAACCTCGACGATCTAGAGCTCTCTTGCTTGGGATTTTCCAGATCTTTTCAATCATCTCACTCCTTTGTTGTTGTTTTCTGAAGGTGTGAATATCCCGTGCCAATCGGACCTCCCGGGACCCAACATCATCAGCTAACCATCCCAGATTCCCCGTGTACTATATAGCATTCCACTTGCATTGGCCGCTCTATCTGCTTGATCAATTTGATTTGTTCTGCTAATTTGTCTTGATTACCTTTGGTACATCAGGGCCCCTTTGTGCGACTGCTTTCATTCGACCCCTGGCTCTGGGAAAAAAGCATTGCATATCAAAACACGACGCACGACGTGCATGCATCACTGATCTTTTGAGATTGAAAGTGTGATTTTCTTGTGTTGCCTACTTTGAACCAGCGAGCAATTACAGCTATCATTCATCTCTTTGTGTCACCATGATCGGCTCGTGCGCCCAGCTGTCCCTTCGGGCATGTCGGCAGGGATCCCAGACAGCGTTGAAGAACACACGTCTCCCCATCCAGTCCAATGTTCTCAAAAGCAAGGTTCTCCAACGTGGTGGTTTCCGCTGTGTAGCCACTTCATCCCAGTTGAAGCTCAGCCAATCATCTGAGTAAGATCTTATTGTCCAGCATATCGCATCACATGACATTAACGACCCTCCAGACTGAAGCCTAGTGGTCTGCAGACCACCTTAATTTCCCCATCATTTTTTAGCCAGCGCAGATGGGCCAGCTCAAACTCACCAGACAACAAACCTGGGGATCTGTACGTTGCAACGTTTTCAAGTTAACAGACCAGAACCAACTAACCGACCAGACCCGAGGAATCAAAGAAGAAGCCAATTCTCTCACGCATTCCTTTGCCGACATCCCACGAGAACATCTACACAGTACCCAACATTCTCACCTTCTCCAGACTTGTGGCCGCCCCTGTAGTTGGGTATCTCCTAGTGAACAACCATCACGCAGCCGCGCTATCTCTCTTTGCCTATGCCGGAATCACCGATTTAGTCGACGGCTGGATCGCCCGCCGATGGAATCTGCAGACAGTTGTCGGAACGATCATCGACCCCATGGCCGATAAGTTGCTCATGACGATCGGTGTCGCATGTCTCGCCGTCAACGGCTCCCTTCCCATCTGGCTCGCTGTGATCATTCTCGGTCGGGACGTCGGCCTCGCCATGTCCGCGATTTATTACCGTTGGATCTCACTGCCTGAGCCCAAGACTATGGCCCGGTACTGGGATTTCTCGCTTCCCTCGGCGGAAGTCAAGCCCACGGAGATCTCCAAGATCAACACGGCTCTGCAGCTGGTGTTGGTTGGTAGTGCGATTGCGCTTCCTGTGGTCCCTGAGGCGTTGGTGAGTGCCTGGCATTTGAGCGAGGCCATGACTGGATTCCAGTAAGTTTTTTCACTTTTTTATGTTCGCTTGATTTTCGTTTAATACCCCTTTTTTGTTTTTTGTTTTTTTTTTTTTTTTTTTTTTTTTTTTTTTTTTGGGTTTCCTTTTTGTTATTTGATGATGTTGCAATTGTACGTCTGCATGTATAATGTGATGTCGCTTGTTAGCAATGCCCAGTCCCCCGGACCTCGCCAGGAGTCT